AAAGGTGGACTTAATCATAATTCGAATAATTCGATTTATTTACCAGCAACATATAAAAATAGTAGTTAATTTAAAACCAACACATAACAAGTAATTTTAGTGCTTAAAATTATAAACTCATTATTCATTAGTATCGCGTAAACAGACAATGTTAGCTAAATGGATAGCATCACTTTTTTAAACAAAACTCCCACAACCCACTTCACTAGACATCGATGATTATTTTAAAGTAAATTTCATTATCTATGTTGTTATGCTCTTGTAGTTAAACTTATGATGAAATGACGGAATTTTAAACTAAACATAACACTGAATGTTAAATTAAAACCAGAATGAAAATTACAGTTCCACTACAGCTCCAAGTTCAGGTATATCTAGAGTGAAACCAAAGTTATCTCCTGTGTACTAGATAAACTGAAGCTGAAAGTAGGCAAACTACTTTCATGAATGTTGTCATAATTAGCATCCTTGAATCTCTAATAGGTAAACAGACCTTACACACAGGTACACGAGTTCTATGAAATCTTTATATAGGCGGCTATTTGTCTACTTCATTGCAACATATTGTGGTCTGTTTCTTGTCAGTAGAATAACAAAAATAACTGTTATTTTATATATACCTTGAAACAACACCATTAACACTTGTCTTGCGTGCACTTGATAAGTGATTAATGGTTGTTTAAAAACCCACGTCTTTGTAAATCTTGTAACATGAAAACAGAGATGTTCATACGTACCTATGCTTACTTTACTAATGCCTGTTTCCGCTTCACCCTCTATTTATTTACTGGTTTTATGAACTTTCCCAGTTTCAGTAATTTATCTTACCTATTTATTTAATGTTTTTTTTTTATACTTATCATATAAAATATGCAAGGTATTTTTTAGACTAGACAACGAAATGAGGCATAATGTTATATCCACGAGCTTTCCATGCTACTAAAATATTCTCCATTCGAACACTGATTAGGGGCGTTCCCATTGATGGCTACCATGAAGGTCTTGACTGAAATTTCTTTAACAACCCCTATTGATGACGTAATCTATGTAGCCGGAACCAAAATATATCCTCATTTGTTGATTTGAATTATCCAATAATGTGATGATCATAACCCACAAAATTGACTACACCTCATCTTATACTGATATCATCACTCTTTCAATTTGCGTCAGACCTCACAGACCTAGATGTGATTGAAAAAAGATTAAAATCTGAAATATATTTTCTTTACATAAAATACTTTAAACTGTCAAACACCAAGCGGTCACCGGTGACCGCGACCTATTGTTCTTTAATTGTGTCTATAAAACCGGTACTCGACGAGTTAATTAAAAATCCTTCCAACCTTTATAAAACATATTTGGGCTGGACGTTATATCACCTACAGGTCCCTAATATAATTTAATAATGAAATAAGACCTCTGGCGTAAAGCCTCTAATTTATGTAAAGGAGCAACCGAGCGAGGGACATCGTAAATAAATCATTCGAATTATTTGCCCATACCTGCACCCGTGGGTTAATTCAGAAAGCCACGCTCCAGTGTAATGATAAAACTCTACTTTAATTGTTGGAAATATATTAAATAGACAACATTATTACAACAAAAACTACAACAATGTGTCAAATTATTTTCTTAGCACTGTTTTATATCTCGTTTAATTAAAAAAAATTGGTTTACTATGTTTCATAACAGTCTCGCATTTCACTTTCCAAACGTCTGGGCTTCAACCCCATTCAGTTATTCCTCGATTTTCAAACAACACTTATTTTTCTTGTCACGTTTTAAAAGGAAAACAAGGAAAACTGAATGGTTCGCAAAACGTACGTCCGAACTGCTGGATTTATTTCGGAGTCACGTTAACTAATAGTAGAAAATTACTCGAATTTGTAGCTATTTAATGAGAATATAGACTTTTTCTGGAGAGTTCGGTAGAAGGTTTGATAATACTTGTTAAACCATATTCCTTATGCGGGAAAAGATCAATTTCACCAAATGTTTCTTATAGAAACAATTTTTATCTAAATATTCTATACCCCAGTGGCGTAGTCAGGGTCCACGTTTTATAAAAAACCGCTGATCAAATAGTAACAAGAAAATTGCTACATGGAATACCGAAACACTTCTAAAGGCAGCCATACCAATAGTCCGAACGGGAAACTAAAATCCTTTTACTTTGATCCCTGTTCCGGAACCTGTCCCCGGGGTGAATTCAAGTATCATTACGGGCCGCTACTCGCTACTCGCTACAGCGTATTGCTTCACATACCTGTCACCGCCGTCTATATAATGAAGTATTATTTTCATAGCAGCATGTCATCAGCCGGTAAAGTGTATTATTAACTGATACTTTTACTGTAATTACGTCTATTATACGGCATAATCGTTGAAACATTATTTTCTTGTATAAAATTCATGACGATACGCCTAGTCGTAGCACGCGTAACTACCAATTATTGTCTATTTTAAATCAATCACTAGACCCTTCGTGTTCTTCAATGTTATCTTGTTTGTATAATAAGGTTATTTCAGTGTTAACTACAGGCAGACATGTTTCCAACACGTTATTTTAAAATTACTTTAAGTATTCGAGTGACAAGTATTAAATCTCGCCGAAAAAGTAAGCAGATACCAGATTTGAACTTAATACAATTAAGTTATTAGTCGCATTAACACCCACGAAGATTAACTAGGTATTAAATATCCGTTTTGTCAACTACAACGTAATTCAATAATTATAGAAATTAACATAGTTACAAGAAATACAATGTAATGTTAGTTACCTCGTAGCATGACGTAGACGTTTCGCCGCCGCCCAAATTATACGATAAACACTGTTTTTCTGACACGTATCATGATATTTAAAGTCACACTATCAATTTACAATATTTTTTGGCGAGCCAATTATTTGTTAGAGGAGCCGAAGGTTACACGTGACGTTTATTCAACAAGGTTTGTATTGTAGGAACACGCGTCCGGTGGCGGTGGTCGCCGATTGCATACACGTGCAGTTGTCGGCGCGGCGTGTCATGTGCAGCGTGGTGTGCGCGGGGCGAGCGGTAAGAGCGAGCGGCGTCGGCGTCGGGCGTGCGCGCTCGGCCTCTCCGCGGACTCGACTGTAGGGCTTCTGTCCCGCTAGGGCGGCGCGCCCACGCTCGATACCGCCGCCTTCCCAGCGCCCTCCCACATTGCAAAATCGTTTATAAAAATTTAACAGATTATTGCAAAAACACAGATATTTTCCAATACGTTTCCAGCCACGTCCTAGTACTCGACAAACACTTGAGTAACGACGAGTTTATTCTCCTTTCATCTTTTTGTCGGAATAATAAAGTGTACCCTGAGTGAGTGCTATCATAACGTGGCAAGCGAGAGGCGTGGCTGTCTAACTAAATGAACGCTTTGACATCACTCCGTCACGGGTTTATTCATATTTCATTTGCCCATAATTTCTTAATCGATTTAAACGCTTGTTTAACTTCCTAATTACATCACCAAAATTAATTGGATGTTTTTTAAAATATCGTATAGAGACGTGTATGTGATGTGAATGGGATACTAAAACTGATTTAACTAAATAGACTGATGTTAACTTTATTATTTTTTTAAATAAAAGAATTGGTCTATTTTGTGTAGTATCTCACAATTCTGGTATACTAAGCACAATATATACATTCGGTATCTCGGATCACGTGTTGTAGGACTGGTGGTGGTTACTTGAGTATTTAGTTACTTTTTGACGCAGCCTAAAGTTTACAAAAGTAGGTATTGTTTATAAGTATACCGACACTTTCTTTATGTTTTGAAACAAAGCCTATTAGCATAGGACGCCAATGAATCACTCTAGCCAGTATTTATATCGAGTAAACTACAAACGAATACTTCATTAAATCAATGTTCAGGACAGTCAACCCTAATATAATTAAACCCTTAACTTAAACACATTAATCAATGTATGGACACTGACGTCACTAAACTCATCAATTTATTGCTTTCATCCATGAGTAATTTGAAACTCGTACAATGTGGGCGGTCCACGGTGTGTTTATCAATATAACTGTGATTTACATGACGTGAACACTCCAAAAAAGAGGTATCGATGAAACGAATATATTTTCAAATGTATTTCTAGAACCTCAAATGAAACTTTTCTAAATCTTTCAATCAAAATGTAAGCTATCTACACATAAATCTGAATAATCAACCAGTTCTGGCATTCATCCACCTGAACCGCCATAAAAATATTCAAAACCATTTGCTTCACAGTTCACACGAAACAATGTCAGTCAAGAAAATATATGCGACACGGAAAGCTGGAAATTCCGCAGCAACAAATATAATTGAATAAGTTCAAACGTAAAAACATTAGCGTAGCATAAATCTGTGCGCAAAAACAAATGGATCACATAATGCAGTGGTGTACTGCGGGCAGCGGCTGCATGGTGGTCGCTGATAGCATCAATGCGGTCAACGGCATGCGCCCGGGGCTTGCCAGCCCACTGACCGGACAGCCGGCCGCCGCCGCCGCCGCACCTGCTGCCCGCCGACATGCACTGCTTTAGTGACGTACTCGTACCCGTCACTCGGCACAACAAAGGTTTTAAAACAAATAACCGGCTTGTCAATCCTTACTAAACCTTGAGGCATGTAAATGTCTTCACTTGTTCAAAATATAAGTAACCTTGAGAACATCACCCATACATCCATATCCTATATCCATTAGGTTACCCTAATAATACGCCAATAAAAGAAATATGATGAGATAAAAAACTTATTTACATCGTTGTCTGCTATTTAAATTCGAGTAACCTCGACATTTATTCGTTGACATTTAAATGCAGTTGAGGAACGTCGCCACATCACTACTGTGTTACAACTACCCACGCTACTCGCCATGCCGACCCGTCATGAACTGCCCTGCAATTAAAATTCACATGCAATAAAGCACTTCCTTTTGGTCACAGTGCTATGTAACACATTATACTAAAATATACAGTGCAATGGAAAAATGTAAGTAGGCTACGTCCAGCGCATGGACATTTTGGAATATTTTCTTGAAACCTGTGGGACATGCCTGCATGCAACCACTTTACATATGACTTGGACTTCAAAGACCGCGATGCATATTTTTCGTGACGTCTGTCTCCTGTTTTATTTTAGTTGCGTCGGATTTTTTTTATATTTATGGATTTTTCTTATAATAAATAACAAGAGATCATTTTGGCGGCAAAACTTTTTTTCTGTCTTTAACTTAGTTCTAAGAGTATTGTAAGATATAATAGCAGTAGATGCACCATTCTTTACGGCTCTTACCTCGCCCAATATATACACTCACACTTGATCAAAAAAATCCAAAAGGAGTAAAAGATAGATTATAATTATATATGGAGGTATAGTGAATGGCAGCCATAGTTCTACCTACGTAATAGGTATATTTATGATAGCGGATTCTAGGTAAATGACGGTAACTATTATTTCAGTTGGATGGCAGTACACACGCATGTGTTACGGAGCAGAGCGGCGGTGGCGTGGCCCGCAACATGGCTGAAGCACTGTGGAGACTGCGCGGCGGCAGAACCAAACTCCTCACTGCCGTGGGAGATGATGCGGATGGAGAATACTTAACTAATATCGCTCCAGGATTGCTACTAAAAGGTCGTGATATTATTTACTAAGAGCTTAGGAGAAAACAGATTTTTAACGGATCTACAATGTAATGTACTAACGCAGGAGCAAGGATTCAGTGTTTTACTTAAACAAATTGAAAACATTAATTGTAGCATAACACGTAGCCGTAGCTCGTAGCACCGTAGATAATAGAATGTCCAAAGTAATCTAGTATTGATGTTAATCAATTACATTAGTTATACTATAATTAGTAATATACTTCCATTATTCTATACAAACAGGTATCTAAATTTCCAAGAAGACACTTTTCTTCAAATATTTGAGATAGTGACGTCGATAAGTCCCTAATGTGTTCCTTATCGTTCGCAGATTGTATCGTAAAAAATGCCAGTACCCCTTCGTACGCTGCCGTAATGGACTCTCGCGGTGAATGCCTGATCGGGTTGGGTGACATGGCTTTGCACAATAATATATCAATCGACCTGGTACGTACAAATACTTTAATGCGTACATATCTAGATATGTCTATATACAATATGTTGTGTTTATTGTATACATATATGTTGAAAAGCTAAAAATAATCAATGAAAATATAATTAATTTATTAAACACGATTACTTTTCAAAAGTCATTGTTTTCAATTACTGCGTAATTTTAAATCTTAGAGTGAGCATGTCGTAGCGCTGTGCTAAGCTAAGCTACGCCACCATGCTACGCTACGCTACGCCACCATGCTACGTCGCGTAGCAATACGACTACGTGTCGGTAATTGCATGCAATGATAACTCAAGTGTTTTTTATTTAGATTATTAGATTATTAAGCACGATCAATGAATTATATGTAAATATGGATAGTGCTATCCACATTTATAATAAAGTGCTTTCTGAAAAGCAATCAATGTGAAATATGCTATAATAGACATTGAAAGTTGCCTTTAATTTTGTTGTGTTAACAAAAATATTAGTCCACGATGATTTTTGATATATGATGCAAATGAATTATTGATTACAATTAGGTACTTGTACATATAATTATACACAAGCGTGTATAATTAAAAAAACATGTAAATAGATTCCAGACTACTTGAACTGAGGCGAATATAAAGTATTTCCACGTTATCCACCCGGTGCCGTGGGCCGAGTAGGTATAATATGTCGGCATAGTGAAGGCGTTTCTACGCAATGAAATATTTGCGTAGAGGCTTTCCCTTTACGACAAAATTATGTGTCTTCGTACCCTCCGAATATTATTTTATGATGGAACGTTAACGTAAAACTGGGGCCATGAATGATAGCGGTTCTGATGGTGACATTGCTGCCTCATGAAATATTGAAAATTGTTGTCACTGCGGGGACGTACCTATAGATCCAATAGTACCTGATAACAGTAACTATTCGCAACTTGTGATGAATAACAGACACTTGAACTTGTTTGTTAGGTACACATAGCTTAGATATGTATGCGTAATGTGTGACATCGAACAAAAGCCTTCAATTAACCTACTTTGATGGAATAATGAATGACGCTTGACTCCGCTAGTTGTTACGTCATTGTTTTGTTGTCTACAGGTGAATAAGCATATCGATGTCCTGCACGATGCCCCTCTGGTGGTCCTCGACGGCAATGTGCCTCAGGCTACTGTTAACCATGTACTCGACGTGTGCCAACGTCTACAGAAACCTGGTAAGTTAATAAATGAATCTTGATGATAAAACATGACTTGATATATAAATATGAATGTCAACTAAACATTAGTTAAAAAGAATATAAGACTAACCTAAGGGCATTATGGAAATACCTCTCTAATGACTTCTATAACATAAAAAATTATCGCTAAATATGTTGCTAAACGCAAATCTCGAGAACATCTCTACCAATTTTGGTAATCTTTATTTTGTTGGGTATGTTATTGTTAGTTAACTTTGTTAAAAAATTATCAAAGTTGAGCAGAAAAAATTCCAAGGCGAAATAAAGTTCGCGGAGTCCACTAGTTTTAGGAATAAAAATCTGTGTACTTACAAAGTATAAAGAAAAAAATAATTGCATTGATTAAAAAGGAAGACTGAAGTAAAAGCATTTGCTCACTAAAATATTATTTATTTAAAATTATCAGTACATACAATCAGTGCTCATCCTTGGAATGGCAAACAAATGATATTATTTTTCGGACGGATTTGTTTTAACTAACAATAATACACGAAGGCACTGTTTACAGATTAATTTTCTTCAAGGCACTCATGTCATTTCATTAGGTACAAGTTAGTGTTTTTTGAATCAAAACTTAATTATAAGTAGATTAAAATACATTTTGATAAAACATACTATCATAAACGTAAAAAAACTAATCCTGGAATAATAAAAATAATAAGTAAACTAATAAACAGAAAAAAATTAAGACAATGTAATTCTTGTACATACAATACTTAGTATTAAGTAAGACTTAAAAATAATAATTACTGTTCGTCAACAGAATGGAAAAATATTCAGTCACAAATTAAAACTGTAAGATAAGCGAATTATGATCAATAACCTAGTGTATAAAATATCAAATCATAATTACTTACTAATTTAATTCATACCTTATAAATTGCTTGAGATTATTTATGGAGTGCAAAATACATAATGTAAGTACATAAAGTGAAATAAAACCAATTAGCCCAATTACGTTAGAACACAAATCCTGTAAAATATGTAAGATCTAACGTCAAAACAAAATTGTATTTTCTTGAGATTCTATGAGTTTCGTGAATTTTTAGTGCTTAGATCTAATAAAAATACATTTTTACATAAGATTACTATTACTCCCTCATTAGTAATCCAGAGTAAAATCGTAAATAGATTACTCAGAATGCAGATTACAAATAACAAGATTTAGTAATCTTATGTAATATGTTATTCTAGCTCTGTAGCTGTGTAATCGTTTCCCACTCCAGAAAAGCTGAGCGAGGTCCGGCCGCACTACAGTTAAATCGGAGCGATTTTCAACCGCGCGAATTTGTGAAACAAGTAAGAAAACAAACAGACACACGAGCGGTTTTTCCAGCGACTGGTTTATAAATCGTAAAATATTGCAAAAGTGTGGCAGCCACATATACATAACAGATTTGTTGGATTAATACCGCAGTAGATATGGTACGTGTATCCTTGCGGTTTCCTGGTTAGTGCAGTTGACCAAGACTACCCCGAGCGGAATGAACCAAAGTGCAGCCTGAGCCTAAGATACAGTATAATTTATATGAATAATAATTATCTAAGGAGTCACAAAATATGTTCTACTTTGTGTTCAATATAGAGCAGTGTTTAAAGTACATTGAAAAAGTATTAAATCAAGTGTTATTTTACATGTAACCCATTTGACGTTGTTGCTGCAACTGGTCGCGCAACTGATGCAGAGCATGTTCAGGCTGACTGTGTTGCATCTGAGCCACCAAATTCTTTGCTTCCAAACGCAGTTCATAAAGCTTTCGGGATTCCAAGTACAGGAGTATCGCTGCAGCTCCTGTAATCAAATGATATTATGACCTTTATGGTTTCATGTTGTGATTACATAAGACAATCAAAAAAATAGTATGAGTACTCTTTAGTCAAGTTAGTGACAAGCAGGTAATACAAAATCTATAACTAAGTATTAGTTACTTATTCCATTTAATTTAGAAAATGTTTTTTAAAAAGAAATTAACTTATATTCCTCTTATTTTTCATTACATGCAAAAGTTATATCTAGAATAAAATAACTATAAGGACACATCCTTAATAAAACAAAAGTAATAATATTTTCTCACCAAACAAAATGAAGGCAACTACAGCAAAAGCATATGACCATGATAGAACATTGAACGAAGGGTACAGCAGCCAGTCGCGACGATAGCAGTTCCCACCAAATATGGCGACTGCCAGGAACAGGAACACACCTGTGACAAAGTTTATATAATTACACATTAGTAAATAGTGCCTAGTTGGCCGAGTGGTTGCATGTGTGACAGCCGAGCAAAGGGTCTCGGGTTTGATTCTCCGGTCAGGCAAAGTATTACTGGGTTTTGTTATAACATCTCAGTACTAGCACAGATATTTGAATTGTGCCCAATATATGGCAATAGGCTCACCCCCTATTACCTAGGCATCATAACATAAATAGTGAAAAGTGGGTATTGCATTAGGTGGTGTAATATGCAACCTCAGCCTACCCCTTCGGGAAAAAAAGGTGTGATGATGTTGGTATACATTAGTAAATTACATTTTAAAACTACAATCAAATCCATTAATTTTATACATCAAAGGAAATGTAAAAAGACAATAATGACTATTCAAAATGTAAATTGTACAGTAATAGTTGCAAGCCTAAGCACCTGTTTCACCACCTCCATAAGTACTCTAGAAACTTATGAGACCAATAGTTCATACAAATTACATTCTTATAAGATTTTTTCTGATAAATAGCAGCTATCCAGACATTGTGAGACATGCCCTAAATACTTACATTTATAAAGTGTTATTATTGACCTTCCAGTTAATACTAAAATGAAATATAAATGTTGACTTACTTGCAATAGCCACCATGATGAAAGCAGAAGTGACAAAGATCCATTCATAACGCAGCACAGTGCGGAGCGGCCATCTCACTATGACACAAGCTAGCAACACTTGAGATGAGAATGACAATATCAAAGCCATGGTCACAAATGACTGCACTGCCATCAACCATCCAGGAAGCAACCATTCTCGAATCACATAAAATTCCTAGAACATGTACATTTTAAATTAGTAACAATAATCAATAGAAAGTTGTACTAACAATGGTGTGGTCTGTGGTTTAATTCATATAAATCTATAAACATTATATATATCTCCTTATCATACTTTAAAACAGCGCTATATATATTGTAAAATTATCCTATTTAGTTTCAATTTCAACTATAGTTAGTTACCTCACTAAAAATGTAGTGGCACCCATGAAACAGTTTGTCAAACTGGTATGAAGGAAAACGAAAACGGTCGAAACAGTACTCCCATAGACCCATGTGTTTGAAACTTGAAAACATTTCTGGATACGACTCGATCCAATAGGGACCGGCAAACGATAGAAGAAGAAATAGGCCAGCGATGTACGTTAGGCTGGCTCCGATGAGAGTCGCATCTGTAAATAAGTTACGATTTATATACTTATTTCATAAATACCTTTTTATGCATAATGTACATTATAAAACTTATTCATAGCAAAACCAATGTTAAATCCAACAAGATTCCAAATTGTATGGGCGTGCCCGATGTAAATATTACTTACTTGAAGCCTTAGGATACTCATTGTCCGCGGCCGTCATAGTGTTGATTATGTTTTATCAGTTATTGTAGTATATTTTTCAAGTAACTATTTAGTATCACAATAACGATTAAATATTAAAAGGAAAACAAGCGTTTTCAACTGCTAACAAAATCAACAAAAAGTGACACTAATGACATAAGAGACGTTTACGTTGACAATCTTTATGCAAAATGACGTTAAAGTTTTCGTCTAAAAATGGGGTACCTACTCTATTACGCTGTTGGTCGTTTAAATTCAAAGTTCCTGTAATAATTAGTACAAGGATCCTTAATTTTTTTTTTTTTATGTGGAGAAAATTATCGAATGACTGTTCCTGCCTGGGTGAGGCGGGAGGGAGTGTCAGACTCTTATTGACTAAAAACCACCTTGTTCCTTCTCCTGCAGGTCGAGCCGGAGCTCCGGTAACCCGTTAGGTTCTCCGCGACTCCGAATCGTCATCAGCCCTGTTGGGCCCCATCCGTGGTGGTCTGATGGCTTTTTGAGGCGCGCGCGGAACGCGACGCGTCGTACGCTCGGGTCTGTTTCTGGTCGGACGGGAAGCCACCCATGCTCGCCGTCCGCAGGCCCGCGCTTACGGTGGCCGGAAATCGTCCCGCGATCCCCGACGCCCGGTGTGTCCTTCGCGATGGCTGGGTTGCGAGGAGGCAGCGCTTCGCTGCCTCACGCAATCACGCGTCCGGCCTCCTCCTGAGCTAGCATAACTGCTTCGCAAAAGGCGGAGACGGCATCCCAGTCCCTCCCCCTAGCTCCGCATCATGACCTGCACTAGGCCCGGACGCGAGAGGTCGCCGTCGCCGATCACTTCCCTGACGGCACGGCGGTGCTAGGCCCTCGCAGGGCATTCCGCTACTGTGTGTTCCACCGTGTCCTCAGGGCGGTCCTTGCAGTGATGACACCCGGGCGTTTCCTCCCGCCCCATCAGACACAGGTACCTCCCGAAACTTCCATGTCCGGTGAGGACCTGTGTCAGGCGGTAGGTGAGGACGCCGTAGCGTCTCTGAAGCCACTCCTCAAAGAGGGGACTTAAAATTGGTATAGAAATGTTATTTTTCTATACAATTTGAATTCGTGTGATCACGAACCAACACCATATTTTTTGCACTAACTAAACATTTTCCATGAATCATTTCCTATGAATTAATTAGAATATATAAAATGTACTCAGCAAACATTTTATAACTATCCGCGAAACATATTCTATTAATCCAAAAAATATAAGCTGGAGTTGTAGAAACAGAAAAAAAATTAATAAAATAAAAATTTTATTGTGATAAGGCAGTTAATTGTTTCATACATATATAAAAATGAATAATCTAATTATAATCTTATTTACTACTTAAAATAAAAACACAAAAAATGGACGGTATTTATAAAGGTACATCGTTGATAAATCATGTCTTTTATAATAATATCAAGTACTTAAAAATGCAGCTCCATCGAATATCTCTGGAATTCACTTAACAAATACATATTAAAGGCACATTATTAAAAGTCATTACTACACACCATTTACACTATAACAATGATATATTTATGTGTTTTGTAAAGTGCTCTAAAAATTTATGTGCATAAGTTACCCTTAGAGTAAGCAATAAATCTAGATTTCGTCTTTACACATAGTTCGACAATATTCAATAACATACGTAATGTTAAAAGCAAAATATTTTCGGCAACGTAAAATAGTGGAGGTAGTCCATTAAACATAACAAATCTGGCACTCATTCAAACATCCAGACCATGTATTAAAAGTCTTGTCCACATATTTGGTTAACTTACAAAAAACAAAACTGAACTAGAAAAAATACGTAAACTAACATAGATACATACTATACTATGATTATGTATTTGTAAAGCAAAATACTGGTAATATTAATAAAAAAAATACATAATATTGTATTGGATTTTGCGCAGACCATTTTGGACGGATAGTTCTTCAGATCTAAACATAATTCGAGACATGAACATTGTCTAATGTGTTCTGTAGCTCAGCTGTTAATGTCAAAAACAGCTAAACCAGGGCCGGCAGACTCAAAAGTCATAAAGACAAAATTAGGTCTCAAAATGTTTGATACCTTTAATGAATTTTCACCCTTATACTTTTGTAATAAAGTTGTGAATTTTTGTGATATAGCGATCAATTTCTGTTGTAATCGTTATCGAGGCTTCAAACCCTGGTGTTACACATTAAACAATTTTCATATACCTATTTCCTTAACATTAAAGTAAAACTATGTGATTTTTGTTTAATGTTATGCTTTCGTTTCGTACTCTAACTCAAATCGAGCTTGAGATTCTTTCATCTTGTTACGTTTCTTTGCTTGGATGTTTGACTCGGTCAGGAAGAGAGCAGAGGTGACTAAACACGCCACGGAACCGACGACACCCAAACCAAAGGACCAGCCTATAAGAAAAACAAGTAGATCATTATTACTTTTGGACCATTATATAATAGTCAAGATACTATAGATGTCTGCCTCGTAGGCCGAGTGGTCGCAAGTGCGACTGCCGGACAAGGGGTCTCGGGTTCGATTCCAGGGTCGGGCAAAGTATTAATGGGTTTTTAAAACAAACCTCAGTAGTAGCACGGTGTCTGGAAATGTGCCCGGTATATGGCAATAGGCTCAGCCCCTTATTACATGGGACTCATAACATAAATAATAAAAAGTGAGTGCTACATTGTACCTACAGTGGCATTTAGTGCCGTAATGTCTGCGTAACCCTTTGAGGATAAAAGGCGTGATATTATGTATGTACTATAGATGTAGGAATAAATCCTATGGGTATGAGTTAAAGAGTTTGCAAAGAGGCACGACTGCTAAGTGCCAAATACGAAAGTCACATTTTGACTTCAAAATATGAATGTTGTTTGTATGGTTGCTTACCTAAATAATTGTTGGGGTGATCTGGCATCCACCCATCTGTGTTTCCCAATGATGCAAACACTATAACTGCAATGACTCCACATATACCTAAAATCAAACAGTTTTTGTATTATAATATCGCGGTAGTCACGTGCTTATGATTATGAGTCCCTGGTGTGGCTTGTTTATCAAGTAACCTAGTAGAATAGGTACGTGAGAAGGCCGTATATAAAAAAATTACCGGCCCGGCCTTTTAGGGGAGTCAGTTAAAAATAAGTTGTATATATTTATTGGTAATAAATATTTCGCAATATTAGATACAGTTCATCTCACCTGCAGCTAACATAATATATCCAATACTCTTTATCAAAGTCACAAATCTGTTTTGGTCAGGTCCGCAACATAAGAAGAACATCAACACCAGTATTGTAGATATCAAAACTCCCAGCAGACACAATGTGAAGAAAAACTGTGTCGCTATCATGAAACCTGCAAAAAGTATATTATTAAGAATATGGTTTGCTGAACCATAGAGGTTTCTATTAAATATTGACAAAAAACATTACTTTTTTCTTCATGAGGTTACAGATATAATAACATTGTTTTTTGCTACATCGCTCGAATAAATTAATAATGTAAAGAAATGTGACTAACCAGGGAGTAAATATCCACGGATCTTGTCATATCCCGTTGTGAAAGGATCGTACACCCAACGACATCCAACGAAGAATCGTCTTTGGTATTGGTCGAGAGGATCTGGCAGTGATCTGAAGCAGTGACTCCATAATCCTAATCTAAAAGACAAAAAAAATTACATTGTTAATGTTAATGTTTATTAATATTATCTATAGAAAATATATTCGTGGCATGTGGCAGATCGCTAGTCCCTTCCCTCCTACAACTATAGTTTTAAACAATTCAAGTTTACAAAATTCTTATCTTAACAAAAAAAAACTGCAAAATATTTATGTTTCCGTATTAGTATGTGTCCATGTCCAACCTATCTAATTTGGCGCCTCTTATTCTGGAGTCGCTGACCAACCAGCTGGGCGTACCGAATGCCAATGCCACAGTAACAAGGGCAATGACAAACACGCCAATGCCACAATTACCGGCCATACTTCTATTCTTCATTGTCTCTGTAACAAAATAATGCAAAGGTTACAATACATTAATGAATCTCAGATTAAGAATTCCGTGAGTAACCAACAAAAATACTTGTGAGTTCCAAGAAGTTTTCAAGAATAAATAGGTACGATTATGATAACATTACATCGATAAATAATTTCGTACTTTTGAAAACTGACTTATTTTCCAAACTTTGCACTATGGTGCAAAGTTTAGATCTATTAGACAAAATTATTGAATCATCATAGGGTTTCGATCAAATCTATCAAGTGTGATAAGAGCTCAGCGGATTGTTTCGAATTTTCAATCAACTGCACTCTAGTTGTATAGTTACTGCAGAATGCACAAATCGAGCGATGTCTTTGACACTGCATCAATTAAGGTCGATGAATAAAATAGGTTAATAGACTTATTATTGCTGAGACTTTTCTTGTATTACATGCAGACACGACGCGATGTCGATGTGTCATCATTGTAATGCCATTTTTTCTAGTTTATTTTACGCAGGTGAATGGACTATGATTTACTAAAATACTCTCAACACGATTTATTTAACAGACTTAGTTAAATAGCAGTACAAGATCAAGATTAACAAATGAAGTAACTAGGTAACTATTTAAATAAAATGGAACCGCCACACAAGTAACTTTAAGGAGTTTTGCTTGTATAGTGTCTATTTCCGAGTATTTCTGTGCAAAAAATCCACCTTATTGTTTTTTATCTGAGGGGTAAAAATCATCCAATAACTTCTCCCGCCCAGGTGAAGTGAGAGGGAGTGTCAGATTTACTGACTAAAAACCACCCCGTTTCTACTCCTACACTTCCAGTCAGAGCCCCGGCAACCCGTTAAGTCTTAACCTTACTTAGCTCCATAAAATGTATTCACAGAAGCTCTATTCGTAGAGCAAGTATACAAGTAAGTAGGTCGGTCGGTAGATACCGTCATTAGCGCAGTTAAATCTGATAATAAACTACACCTTTAAAAAGCTATTGAGAACATGGTTATGAATGAAGTGCTTTACTTCGGCGGACTCAACATTAATTCTTGGTAATAAGAGTTATAGTAAGTAGTCATACTAGGTAGATAGAGATCATTTATATAGTTAAAGTTTAGATGGGTACCGAGGTAGAGGTTTTTTCTAATTCATTTGCTTGTGTTTTTTTTTTCAAATACGGTGGCCACTTTTGCCTACCTCAGAAAAATGCAAGTTTCGTTTTTGAAGTTTAACCAATTGAATGCACCAGTTTTTTTTTTTTAAGGGGGGAAATCATCGAAATACTTCTCCCACCTGGGTGAGGCGGGAAGGAGTGTCAGACTCTTACTGACTAAAAACCACCCCGTTCTTTCTCCTGTACGTCGAGCCGGAGCCCCGGTAACCCGTTAGTCCTGTTCGGACCCATCCGTGGTGGTCTGATGGCTCTTTGAGGCGCGCGCGGAACGCAACGCGCCGTACGTTCGGATCTGTTTCTGGTCCGACGGGGAGCCAACCAGCGCTTCGCTGCCTCACGCGTCCCGCATCCTCCTTAGCTAGCATAACTGCTTCGCAAAAGGAGGAAACGGCATCCCAGTTCCCCTCGCTCCGCATCATGACCTGCACTAGGCCCGGACGCGAGAGCTCGCCATCGCCGATCACTTCCCTGAGGGCACGGCGGTGCTCAGCCCACGCAGGGCATTCCGCTAGTGTGTTCCACCGTGTCCTTAGGGCGGTCCTCGCAGTAATGACACCCGGGCGTTTCCTCCCGCCCCATCAGACACAAGTACCTCCCGAGACTTTCATGTCCGGTGAGGGCCTGCGTCAGGCGGTAGGTGAGGACGCCGTGGCGTCTCTCAAGCCACTCCTCAAAGAGGGGACTTACCGCTGCAATGGCAGCGAACCTAGAATGCACCGGTACGAAACACAATAGAAAATACTTTGTGTCTCGCGTGAATCCACGTTTAGACACACGACGGGTTAAAGGTAGCCGCAGAACTACGAGTCATCAGTTTTGACACATGCGCTTATCGTGGGTCAAGGGAAACGGCAAGTTATCCACTTGACTACTAATAAACACGAATAAAATGGGTGTGTAGAAAACCTAATGTGGAAAATTTATCCACTGTTTATTACCTACTTTGTTGTTATAGGCAGTAGCCTAAAGACGGGTAGCGGGTAGCTAAAGACGGAAGGTAAAGACGGTACTTTTTTTTTTAAGGGGGGAAAATCATCGAAGGGAGTGTCAGACTCTTACTGACTAAAAACCACCCCGTTCCTTCTCCTGCACGTCGAGCCGAAGCCCCGGTTACCCGTTAGGTTCTCCGCGACTAAAGACGGTACTACTCCGTCTTTACTACAAGGGCACTCGGGGCACGGGCCCCACGGGCACGTTGCGCGACAACTGGAGGCCCCGCAATGTGTAGCGGGTTAGATTTTATTTTTTATGGGTTGCATCTTTCTAAGCCAGTTAGGTATATGATGCATTGCATTGTCGTGTCGTGGTGGCCCGGAGGATAGAGACGCCCACTTCTCATACATGAGGGTGCTGGTTCGAAACCTACCAACAGCAAGTACCAATGTGACTTTTTCCGAGTAATAAGTACTTTCTAAGATTATCTAGACACCACTGACAAATGGTGAAGGAAAACACCGTGAGAAAACCTGGGCTTATAATTTCATATTATAAGTTTTAAATCGCCAGCATAATTGTTGTAAGCAGATCAAAATCTGTGGCCACAAACATACAACAAACATCCATAAAGTTACTTGCACAAGTACAAAAAGTCCTTGTTCAATTCGTGGGTTAAGAACTAGAGAAGCGTAAGGGCAAAATGACAACTTCTCAGGAGAGCCGAAAAACAACTCAAATTTACCTACCGTTATCTTATAGCTCTTTTATAGCAAAATCTATAGGAGTTAGAGATTTGATTTTTACGAATAATAAAGCTTTATTTATCGGCTAAAGAATAGTGTAACTTTTTGGTCAATTAAAAAACGGGTTCATTTTAATAAACTACAATTTTCAAAAACTGGTTGACATACGTCATTTTGGCTGTTATATAAATTCAATAATGTATGGAATGCAACAGAACTTCCGATAAAATGGCTTTAAAATAATAACAAAAATCTAATAAAATTAATAATTCATCGTAGATACCTTTAAAATTTAATCAATAAATAATTCTTGTATAAACTACGTTTAAAAAACCGACTTCAACCCCCTCTATTTTTGCAGTCGATTAATATAACTCTAACCTTCTCCGAAGTGTCATTTTTCTGAAAATTGCTTTAACATATATAATTATTACAAATGTTACAAGGTAAACTGAGAACTTCCTTCTTTTTTTAAAGTCGGTTAAAAATAATAATTCAAATTCAAATCATTTATTGTGAATATAGGTAAAGTGTAGATGTTATAGTAGTTATTATAAAATAATTTAAGCAGCAACATTCTTCATTTAGTATGCCATTATTCGTGGTCGACCTGCAAGTGGCTGTAAAAATTATGATATGTTGAAGGAACATCTCCAGATCGACACAGCTCTAGCAAATCGTTGTACCTACTCAACTGCTAAAAAGCCTTTGTTTATAAAATACTAGCTTCTGCCCGCGACTTCGTACGCGTAATCCCATTTTGTCCCGTCCCCGTTCGTGATTTTCGGTAGAAAGTAAAAAAAAAGTATTGGTATTAAAAAGTATCCTATGTCGGTCTCCTGGCTCTAAGCTACCTATACCTACCAATTTTCAGCCAAATCTATTCTGCCATTCTTGAGTTATAAGTGGTGTAACTAACACGACTTTCTTTTATATATATAGATTTTATTGAAAGATGTGGTAGGAATAAGACAAATAGCTGGCATGGTATATTTAGCGGAATAAATTCCATCATCCAGAACAAGTTTCATAGCCTCATAGAATAGGAGGCAAACGAGCAAATTGATCACCTAATGGTAAGCGATTAGCGCCGCCCATGGACACCCGCAATACCAGAGGAGTCACGGGTTTGAACTTTTCCCTGTAAATGAGCTTCTTGTTCACTTTTTTTAGATTATTTCTCTTCATCATTCATATGCAAACCATTCATCGCACATATCTGTCCGTGGCTTATGTACGCCAATATTAAAATCTTTTCCTAGAATATCGCCATACATGTTTATTTTAACAGGTTCTACCTCATCTTCATCTTCCTTGCACTTATGAACATTATAGTTCGTGACAATAAGGTCTTGGTCAAGGTACTCTTATTTGGTATCTTTTCTAATGTGCTGGTATGCGCGGAAAACAGCTAATGTGGTCTTTGTCGTACTGTCTAGCACTTTCCGGAGTTTCATTGTTTTCATGACTGCACGGTTGGTGCGGTGTGGTTGGGCAACCAGCTGTCGTGCAACGTGTCGCGGGTTCGATTCCCGCACGAAACAACACTTTGTGTGATCCACAAATTGTTGTTTCGGGTCTGGGTGTCGTTGGGTATATACAATGTATGTGAACTTGTATGTTTGTAAACGCACCCACGACACAGGAGAAAATCCTAAAGTGGAGCAACGTTTAAAAAAAAATTGTGTGATCCAGAACCAGCCACCCCCTGTATCTTAACCTAAAGTTTTTAGGGTCAAATTAACGTACAGTAGTATTAGACGCGAAAGTGAATTAGACCAAAAGCGATTTATTACGTGCTAAAGAAACGTATGCAGCTTTTACGTTATTATTGACATAAAAACTGCTTGTATTATTTTATTTATTTAGTGCCGTAACAGCGTATCCCACCATTACGTTTTTCTGGCAGAAATAAAAATGATAGGAAGTTGCGAAACAAAGACCCATAAGCAGTAACGGTACTTTACGTTTATTTAGCACGATACAAACTAAGGCTACATAATGAAACTGTCTGTGATAATAACGTATGACAACATACGTTATTTGCGCGATTATATTAACGCCATATTTAGTATCCTATTCGCTCTGTAAATCGAGTTACGATTGTTATGCTCGTAATTTTTTTTACAAAATTGAGTCAAGATTATTGTAAGTAGAAACACTTCATTTTGGCAATAAACAAATAACTTTTTTTTCTATACGTTATTGTTGTACTAAGCAATCTACTCACTACATCGTTCCAATTTTTTGGCACATAAAAGTATAGGAATTAAAAAACCGAATGGCGAAAAAAAATTTTTTTGCATTTTTGCCCTTACGCTACTCTGGTTCTTAACCCACGAATTACAATCTAACAAAACAAAGCTCACTAAGTAAGTACACACCAAAAGCAGTACCGTTTGTACTTTACTTGTTAATTAGTTAAATTCAATGTCAGAGCAATTTGTAACAACTATATATGTGTATGTCACTTTACACCACATACAAGGTCAAACACCTGAGATGAATAGTAAGTCTACCTAACTACCTGTATACCTCTGTAAGTTTCGCAATACAGTCAATGAAGCCAGTGTGTGACTGTGTGTAATACACAGCATAACATTCACCCAGAAGCACAATGCCAAAATGTTCACACGCATTTTAACTGTGGGAACTCATAAATATGCATAACCACATTTAACATTTTTTATTTTCCACCAGAATTTTATTTTTGGAAATGATTAATCAAATCCTTTCTGGAATTACTATTTATTTTTAAAGTCTTAGTGAATTGAAGGTATGTACATAAATATGTAGTTATAGTTTTCTTTTATCACAATGTGGTACCTATTACCTACCACTAAGTAATGAAATTAATACTAAGATAATAATACACTAACAATTAATATAGTAGACAAAGGAGATATCAAATACTTTCTTTAGACTGAAAATAATTTTAAATACCTAAGTACGAGATGAATTAATAACTATTACTATCTAGCATTTAATGTCCATTAAAAAATATTATTACACACTTACCAGAATGAACTCAAATTACTGAAAATACAATCCTATATTGCTTAGAAAAGATTTTAAGAAATAATAAAACTTAGTTGTAATAATCTGTCCACTTTACTGTACTTACATATATTATCCTCAATTACTTGGAAAACTATTGCAGTTTTACTTTAAAACTTTTATTTTTCTACTATCACTAATCACAAACTATAATAATTCAACTGTAACCTGTCTGAATGAGGATTATGGGTAGTATTTGCTTGTTTTAAAGGTTGTCCATCTTTAATGAATAAAGCAAATTTTTATTGACGTATTAAGATTTGAGTTCAATTAGAACCGAGATTATAAGGGTAATCTGTTATTTTTCCTAATTTTTTAGGGTTTTTGCTAGTAAGTAAGCTGTATAGGATACGGTTGTTAGGTACATAAATTATTATTATATTGTTGATCATTTGAGCAGACTTTTAAGGTATTTACACCGTTTAAATAACTGGAGTTATTTCAAACAATTTCTGAATTAATGCTGTGAAATAAATAATGTTTATATTGTGTTTAATAATACCAATTAAATTTTACATATTGTGTAAAGTCGAAGTTGTGCATAAACCTACTTACCAATCTAGTTGTGTTATCGAATTAAACGAAATTTTACTGTGGTTACGTTATTTCTGTTTATCACATACACCATGAAATATATAATTGAATAGTTTACCATTCAAAACTTATGGAATATAAAAACAAATAATTGTAATGTGATGACTGATCAACGCCCAACAACTGACAACGAATGAATGACTGACTGACATGACTGGACATGACGTTTATTGAATGAATCTATGAATGAATGTATGACTTTGGATGAATGAAAGTACGGCCACCGATTTTTCGTAATTTTAACGAATTTTTGACGATAGCTTGTTATCTGAGAAAATTATTAAAGAAAATTCATCAATTAATTGCTTAAACCATTTGAGTCAGATGAAAATTACTCCTAGGCGTAGTAGTAGGAAAACTGTTTTAATAGTTTTTCTCAAACTCTTAATCGATCCCAGCTCCGCATGCCGCAGAGCACACTGAAAACCGTATTATCAAACTTTTTTAATCAATTCCTTTTAATTTTTGCTCGGCGGGTCGTGCCTTGGTTACATAAACAAATATTAATATTTTCAATACCCATCGCACACACATCGGTGCATCACACCTAAAAGCGAAAGCAAGATTTTTCCGGGAATCGAACCTGCAATATATTGCGCAGTAGCCGATTGAACAACCGATGTATTGATAGAATGCATGCAATCTATAACTAAATTAAATTTTAATCTCTTAAACCATTTCAATAATTATTGTTAATTATTTGTTTTACTTTCTTTCAGTGTTTTTCGAACCAACAGACAGAAGAAAAGCTCAGAAAATCATTGGCGGTAAATACAAAGTAACATATGCTTCACCGAATTTATCGGAATTACGTGCAATGGCACAAACAGTTCGATCATCACACATTAGCAGTACCGGCGATATTGCAGAGATAGTGAAACTGTATGCTAGTGTTTCAAATGTTATACAATTTATGATTGTAACAATGGGATCTAGAGGAATCATTACACTAAGGAACATAGGGCATCAAAATGAGGCAAAATTTTATCCAACTGAACCACTTACAAAAGTTGAGAGTGTTTCAGGAGCAGGAGATTGTTTTGCTAGTGGTTTTATTCATGGAATTCTCTCTGGATATAAGGAATCACATTGTATATTCATTGGGTTTGAAGCAGCCAAGATGGCACTGTTGTCCAAGCACACTGTACCTTCGAATATAAATATCATTAATAAATCTTTGTTCAGGGCGCCTAAGTATGAGCTAATAAAATAGCTTTAGATGTATTAATATAACATTTATTCAAGACACACCCTTTATAAAAACATATAAAAAGATTCAAGTTCTTAAATTATTTATTTGTATACTGGTACAAATAGCATGATTTACATTCCATTACAAAATTTGAAAAAACCCTGTAAATAAATTAAAAAAAAAAAAAAAAAAATTACAAAATTTGGTTAGGAAAGCTGGTATAATAATATAATATGTAGGTATATTAATATAAATGCTTATCTGAGGTTTTAGGTCTGACATAATGTAATTGTAATTGATTATAAATGGTAATACGGGGCATTCCACTTTGCGCACCTAAATGAAGCGCACCCAGACGAAGCGCACCTAAAGTATTCAACTTTGCGCACCTGTAGGTGCGCTTAAAATAAAAATTTTAAATAAATAGTTTTTCTATTCCACGAAGCGCACCTACGAATATCACTCGCATAGTGCGGAGACTAAGAAATAAAAATATCGATATAAGAACATATTTATTATTTAAAAGACTAACTTAAATATCTAACATCTGTCAGTTTCATTATAATAATGTGACACAATATTTTGTCATTTTGATTTTGTAATCTTACTATTTAAAATCACAGATTGTTTCATAATTACAATAAAAACATGGACAATTATGAAAAACATTGTAAATATGGTTTTACATAAAGATCTGTTGAAGTTTTCTTATAGCTACATGTTTAGTGACAAATAAAAATACTCTACTTTAACATAAAAAATCACAGATTGTTTCATAATTACAATAAAAACATGGACAAATATCAATATTGTGTCACATTATTATAATGAAACTGACAGATGTTAGATATTTAAGTTAGTCTTTTAAATAATAAATATGTTCTTATATCGATATTTTTATTTCTTAGTATCCGCACTATGCGAGTGATATTCGTAGGTGCGCTTCGTGGAATAGAAAAACTATTTATTTAAAATTTTTATTTTAAGCGCACCTACAGGTGCGCAAAGTGGAATACTTTAGGTGCGCTTCGTCTGGGTGCGCTTCATTTAGGTGCGCAAAGTGGAATGCCCCGGTAATACCACCAGGTACATAGTTATAACAGTGAGATTTTTATTTTTTAAGCTGAAATTATAAATTACAATTAGAGTACATTTAACAGAGTATGGTACCAAAATAATATTAAATGCTTGTGCCATTCTCATTCTTAAAGCTTTCTAGAAGCTATTTGTAGTATTTATTTTTTGATTTGATCTTATAATCAATTTATCTATAATAAAGTTAGTAGCTTAATCCAAAATGCTCTATTTCTATTAGAATAAAGCACTACTGTTGTAAAAACTTACATATAAAGTATACTCAGTCTAAACTACAAGTTATAAAATGTAAAACATTTTGGACGGACAATTTCATTGTTAAGGCATCGTTTCAAATATAAATAGTACAAAATAATTAGTTATAATGTTAATTATTTACTATATAAATATGTATTAATATAACATAAAATTAGTGTAATAAAAGTTGCAGATCTGATGGGACGGAGTCATTATTTTGTATAAAAAGATGCCTAATATCTATATGTCAGTATGTCCGCCAGCATACCCAACCTTCCTCTCATGCATGGTATAAGATGATGGTTCCCTGCTCTGCATTTCATGAAGTCTCTTATACTTTTGTACTCTTGCTTCCACCAAGAACAGTATTCCTGCAGGCAAAAGTAGAACAACGCCTACAACTCCAAGAGCAAATGCCCAACCCAGGTCATTGTGTTCCCAGTTAGGCATCCAGTCACGTCCATCACCACGGGCACCAAATGTTACCACAGAGATAATTCCAGAGAATCCTGAAAGTTATAAAAATATATCTGTTGAATGGCTTCTGAAACTTGGGTAGATCTGTTGTATGCAATTTGTGTATTTCTTCAGAAACATAAAACAAATAGTTTTACAAACCTCCAATAACAAGAACTGTGCCCAGAGTGACCAGAAGCGTAAGGTATTTGTCATCATCTCTGTCTTTCTTCATATACAGGTAAGACAAAAACATTGACAAAATAACACAACACATAGTAATGGTAAAAAAGAATTGTGTTGCTATGAAGAAACCAGGTAGAAGCACATCGTGAATAATGTAGTATTCCTCTTCGAATATCCACCAGCAACCAGTAAATACCGTGTCATACCAATGATGGACCTCTTCAAAGCCATTGAAACACACTTCCCATAGTCCTATAATAATAATATGACAAAGATTTAAAATTATTACGGAAATCAGAATGATTGTAAGGGCAATATTTTTTATATAAACACAAATTCCCTTTACGTACCAATTTTTATAAACTTTGGGTTTTTAAGTTTACCGTCTGTTACTAGCCAATAAGGACTAATAAAAGAAATTATCACAAATAATGACGCGACTATGAAGAACCCTAGGGCAAATAACCCTGTTTTAGATTTAACCATGTTAGATTACTATTTTATTTTGAAATATAATCAAAAATATTGAACACTTGATGTCACGCCCATAGATGTCAACGAACGGCAAAACGAAAACGAATGTCATTTCATTCAGCAGTCAAAAAATTTCAAACATTGAGTACAAACAAAAATCCCACAGAGTATAAATAAAGATTAGCAGATTTCAGTAAGGTGAGTACCATAGAGTTTCACTATTAAGTGTCAAAGTGTCTAATTACTGTCATAGCTCGTTTTCTGACGTCTGACGAGATCACACAGAAGCCCAAAAATAAAAGGTTTCTCTTACTTTGATACGCGACCAAAGATGTTTTATTGTTTATTTATATAATTCTAACTTATTACAAATGCAGTGCCTACTCATGAATTCAAAAAGGAGAAATTTATTTTGTCTCCTATTCGGAAGTAGAAGATATTTGCGTAGTAGTGCAACGAATGTGGAAATTGCGAATAACGTGAAAACTTTAAGTAAATATCTAAACTTAAGTGAGAGCAAAGCACACTATTTATGTATGAAACATCCCATTTTAACAAAAATGGACAATGACAACCTCGAAAGTTTAATTAAAACAGTAAATGATTTGGGATTCCCCTGCCAGTCGCTAATTGAAGAGCCAACACTTTTCGCAATTTTACCTGTTACCTTAAAGTTTCGATACAAAGTATTGAACGAATGTGGAATTCAGAACATATCAATTTCGACCTTATCATCATACTTAAAAATAATTAAACAAATGAAAGTAGAAGAATTGAAGACCTTGGAGTACTTACATCCTTACATAAATGTTGAAAATAGACTTGCGAGCTACATGACCCAGTGGCCAACATCACTTACATCTTTAATTTCAGAAGATATTGAGAACTCAACATTATATGCATTACGCCTGAAAATTATACAAAGATATCTAGAGCTTGTGTTGGACCTTACAAGTGATGAGTTTTACAGAGGTGTTAACACCTATCCCACTATCAAACATCGGCCATTAGAATATATTAACGAAACATTGAAAATTCTACAACTACAAATTATGATACCTAATCATAAAATCAAATCTAATTTATATTTAATTCATGCTGATCCAGAAAATCTAAGGAATGTAATTTGTAATTTTCGATCAATTGGTGGAATTGATATCAAAGAAATTATACGAATGCATCCTAAACTGGCTGCAAGAAACTGTAACACTATGATAGAAATAAGAAACATTTTAGAAGAGTATGGCATTAGCAGCGAGGCACAGAGAAGATGTTTTAGTGTTTATACCTTAGCTCCAGAAACAATTAGAGAAAGAATAGAACAAGCAAAGAATATACCTGAGTTCAGTACATTTATAAACCATCCCAGATTCCTGAAAATGATTTATTACAAAACAACAGCAATCAAGAGGCTGAATAAGCTGTACAGAAATAATAAAAAATGTGTCAGTTTAAATGTACTGTCGGGAAGTTCAGCACACTATGAGGTATTTGAAAAGGCTCCTGGTGATAGGCTAGGAAAGGGAAAAGATTTATTGTTTTGGCTATCTCAGTCATTTGGAAAGAAATTCAATATGACACACATTCGTAATGTAATTAAACGACATCCTTATTGGATTAACACACCAGTACTACAAGTTAAATCTGTGTATGATCATCTTTCTACTCAATTTTCTGATCAAGATATTTATGAAAACTGTCCTATACTATTATATCCTTGGAAAAAAATATATGCAGCACTTAATATAATAGAAAGGAAACTAATACAAGATCAAATACCTACATTTCAAGATAATTTTAGGTATAAATCATTGAGCAAGACTCAAAAATTAAGTTTAGTTCTTTATTTGTTGGAGAAGAAACATTATTTTTCAGGGAATGGAGTATGGGCTGAAGAAAAGATTAAAAATTCAGACAAATTGGATGAAAAAAAATTGATGAGTGGTCAAATATAAAAAATCTTAATAAAATGTTTATTCGTTTTTATTCTTCACATCCAGAAACGAAATATAGTTGCTATTACTTATTTAAAAATGTGAATAAATGGTCTTCTTCGACCGATCGAATAAAGCTTACAATGCAATAGTTGTCAATACGTGTAGTGGTTAGGTGTCCCCCGACACATATCTCTTTTGGTTAGGTGACCAGCTGCTGCATTACATGTTGTGAATACCGCACAAAACAAGCCTGGTTACATAACCAGTGTATGTCCATATAATAATTGGAGTATGTATATGGTTAACATTGAACGGCAGATTTTGTACCGCTTCGCTAAAAAAAGATTTGTCATTAAAAAATTGGGTCATTATAGAACCTCCTAAGTACGTTATGTTAGCATATTTAATAGATTTTTAAAACTTGGGAAACCCTAGAAAAACTGATATTCAATAATGATAAAAAGCAATCCACTATACGTAAAACGAACCGCGATTGACGTTTACAAAGTTGCCATGCGTAAAGATGAAATCAGAGCATATTGAATTTCGCTATTTCATAAACTCATTTATTTTAATATCTATCAATGAAATATTTTCCTTTCCATTTCAAACATTTTTATAAGTAAATATAAAAATCTACATCCAATCTAAATCTACGTTTACATGGATTATTAATGATAATTAACATTTTAACAAACTTGAATATTATGGCAATGTTGAACTGGCATTTGTCTTGATGACATTGACAATTAATTTGTCAATACTGGCGCATTGCTGTTTGTTTCAAATGCGATGTTATGATGTGTTTGTTGAATTTGAAGTTATTTTATTCATCTGGTGATACGTTGAGTTTGGCAACCGTTCCTCCGTAGCCCAAATTGGTATTATTGGAATCATTGTTGTGACAATTGCGAAAAGACACTTATTTACATTGTTTTGTGCAGTGTGTTGTTATTTGTCGCGATGATGAATTTACAGTGTATTAATTGCATTCAGAGTTTGTCGCACATGAGACGGCATGCTCTAGAAAATGAGAGTGAAGATTAGACGTGGTCAACAATATCCCAATGTGGACTTATCCTAGAGATGTAAGTACCTAGTTTACCCATAACATATCGAAAGTCACCATGTTCCTGAATAAAAGATGCGGTGTGCCGCAGGGTGGTGTTCTATCCCCTTTACTCTTTGCGCTATTTATCAACTCTATCTCTAATGAACTCTCTTCTTCCTTCCACCTTTATGCCGATGATCTACAGATCTACACAAATGCTTCACTGCATGAGTTACCTGATGCTATTGCGCTGATCAACCGTGATATGGCACGAATTAGTGACTGGAGCATGAAGTTCGGGCTACATATTAATCCATCAAAAACACAAGTGATGGTTGTCGGCAGCTCAAGGACTGTCTCTAAAATAGACTGGTCTACTCTTCCCCAAGTATGTCTACTTAAAACAAAGATTCCTTTTTCCTGTGAAGTCAAGAACTTGGGGATTTACATTGATAGTACTCTGTCCTGGTCTAAACAGGTGCAGGAGGTCAGCCGCAGGGTGTTTGCCTCGGCGGGCACCCTGAGGCGTTTACGGAATTTCTTACCCACTGCTACTAAAATTGCATTAGCACAATCCCTACTTCTACCAATTCTCGACTATGCTGATGCCAGCTATCTTGATCTCACCCAAGAACAATTAGACAAGCTTGAGCGACTTCAAAATCTTTCCATTAGGTTCATATTGGATTGCGCAAGTATGATCACGTCTCTGACTTCCGCAACAAGCTCAAATGGCTGCCTATTCGCCTTCGCCGGAATACTCATATTCTTTCACTTCTTTACAATATACTTTTTAATCCCACTACCCTACCTATCTAAAGAACGTTTTACGTACCTTGGCGATACATTCGAAGTTTTTGAGATCATCGGAGAGTCTGAAATTGAGTATTTGTTTGCATTCCACTTCCTTTTTAGACAAGTCCTTTACAGTGCAAGCAGCTCGGTTGTGGAATGCTTTACCGATTGCAGCGAGGCGAGCTCAATCCATATCGCAATTTAAAAAACTTGTTAAAGAGCATTTCCTCTCTTTATAATTTTATATCCTATCTTAACCACACACACACATACACACACATACACACACATGCACAAATACACACCATTATGTAATTTATGTATCATATTGTATATTGTATAGGTATTATTTTATTTTTATTTATTTTATTTATTTTTTTTGAGTTGTAGTTGTATTTTTGTATTCTGTGTATAGTACTTTATAAAGTTATTAGTTATTGTACACTTGACGACCCATATCAGACTCCTATTACTGCTCCATCCAAAGGTTGTCTGTAAGAAATCGCCTTGTGCGATAAGACCGCCCATTGTACACTATTTTTGTTAATATTTATCCTATAATGTGATTGTGTGGTGTACAATAAAGCATATTATTATTATTATTATAAAAGAAGGCGCATAGTGTTATCTACCCATAATGTATCATTTTATTCTTTTTATTCTAGATCTCTCCTACCGACCATATTTGCAATGCTTGCTGGCAATTAGCAATGTATCGGGATGTTGCTGAAAGTATGTCCAGCAAACAAATTGGTCACTGGCATGTTTGTGTCGTATATGGGTGATTCATTGCAATGATAAGGTGACGCAGGGTTTTAATTGAAGGCGCCAACAAACAGGAGTAAAGACTGGCTCATATAGTATTTGATTGGATTCAGCCACAAGAGGTAATAAAGCATAATTTAACCATACTATTATCTATATACAGTGTAATCTAAAGTCAATATCATATTCTAATATATTTTATTTTAGCTTACTTCCCATGATGAAGATCATGTTCCATACTGACTGAGAGACCGTACAAGAGTCGAAACTATAAAACCACAACCTGACATACCACCTCACAGTGTTCACTATCAGGAAGTAATGTATTATGTAAACATGGACTAAGCCTCACTTTATTTGTAGAACAGATGAGGCCGGATGATGTTGTTCGGCTCTCAAAGCTTCAACAGGTATGCATTCTCAATATAATGTACCTACATAATTATGTATCTATGTGGAGTATATAAGCGGTTTGTAATAGGTTTATACTCATGTTATAATTATAATTTATTAATTAGCATGCTGTTTGAGCTCCTATGATCTGTGTTATACGAATAACTATAATAAATGTTATAAAATGAAGTAATGTAATCAAATATTTATTTTTATCTTTTCCATTTTAAGATAGGGAATCAGACTTATTATTATAACATATAAAACTAAAGGAAAAAAATGTACTTTTGTTTACTTTATTTACAGTTATCTTACTTGTTTACAGATATCAGCAATTGATGTCTGCTGTACCTATGACACGGCCTGTTCTCTTTTTAGATGAAGTACTCCTAGAAACAACCTGAATAATGAAATAAAAGTATTTCAAAATAATACATTTGTTTTATTTTAACCTAGTAAGTAACTATATATTCCATCTTGATAAAAGTGATTTTAAGAATCAATCTATAAAATAAATGCCATATTTAATTTAGATAGCTTTAGTTTTATAAAAAATGTTCATTTTCATTTTACATTTTCTTTAGTTGTAATGTGGTGGCCCAGAGGTTTAAGAAGCCCGCTTCTCATGCATGAGAGTGCGGGTTCGAAACCTACCAACGGCAAAGTACCTTTTGTCCAATGTTCTTTTTTCCGAGTTATTGGTATATTCAATAATCTAAGAAAGTACAAAGACACGCGGACGAATGGTGAAGGAAAACATTGTGAGGAAACATGGGCTTATAATTTCTTATTATAAGTTTGAATTACCAACCCACATTGAGCTAGTATGGTGATTAATGCTCAAACCTCCATGCGAGAAGAGGCTTCGGTCAGCAGTGGCCACTTATAGACTTAATGATGAAAATGTTGATGATTCTACTAATTTGACTTACTTATTAGAAATTAATCCTTACATGCGTGCTAAGCAACCAGTTTTCAGAAGAAATACTTTCTCAAAGAGCTAAGCTAAGTTTAAATCGAATTAACTTGAGACCCTTGAGACTATCTACCTGCAAGATTCAAGGTGAAGTGAGACATTAGTTTTATCATATCCGCCACAAGACTTCCACTGCTAAATGTAGGCCTTCTACCCAATGACAGTCGCTTACATTATGAATTTGCATTTTCGTAGGCACCTAAGAAATGAAAAAGATTGTGAGGCATACTCTTTAAAACTCTATAGGTGCATCATGCTTGCTGAATTAACAGGATCATTCCTAATTCCCTTTTGCGCTGCGACGCACCATAGGTTATTTTTTGGGTTTCTAAATTCTTGTTGTGTGTCGTAGCAAAATAAATGGTTTTTCTTTCTTTCTAATAATACAAAGTGTAATAGTCACTTGAGTAGCGAGCAGTATTTTTAGATTTTTGTTTTTTGTAAATAGGTAAACAACCACATGAGAGCACATTGACATTTTTCAGTTAACTGTCATCTGTCATTTGTAATAGATATTTTGCTTACGGTGGCTCTACACTTGACGTTGCGTATTTGTTGTGTTCGGCCAAAAAAGAACATGTTTGGAGGATTTATTCTTCTTTGTTTGCTATATATTTGCACGCCATTACATATAGAGATACTATTTGGACGCCATTTGTACGTAGTCTACAAATATTTGGACAAATGAAGCGACTACGCAATGTCAAGTGTGGTACCACCTTAACATACCTTTTGCACATTTTCAAAGTGAAATAACTTTTGAACCCCAAGTTCTAAAAATATGTAATTTTTTTCTAAACTTCATAATAAAAATATCTATCGTTCAGACTATTCACTTGGTTAAAACAATGACTAATACAAAATTTTATAGCGGTACAAAACTTCCATACAAACCTGCCATTCTCCTTTAAAAATAATACTTTTTCGTTAAAAAATTGCAATAGTACTGCAATTATAATGGTAATTAAAAAACCTAACTTCTGCCAGAAGTCATTATTATACGCGAACGAAATCGCGGGGAACAGCTAGTATAAATATACATTTCAATATTATGCCTACTCTAAAAATGCAACACATTTCAATCGATATGAAAGATCATAGGACCCAAATAAAACCTAGTTCAAAATAGAAATTAGACTAACTTTTTTCAATTTAGTAAGTTTTTTAAACAGTGATAAGTGGTAGCTACGTTGGCTACACTTATGTATTTTATTTACATATTGGTGGCAACATTTAAATGAATGTCAAAATGTCACAAAAGTGATTTTTGAAGACTGCTGATTCTGTCTGTAGTCTGTGGTAGTGCAAAAATGGCGACTCTACTTCCCCGTCCTTTAGGTCTTGCCCAAACTCTTCTATTGAAAAATGGAAGTAAGGTAATTGCAAAAGTGGCTTTATTATTTTTATATTTTCTTGAAATTATTGTTTTGTTGTTACAGTCCAAAACCATGGACTTCCTGTCTTAGAAGTATGTAAAAACAAATTAGAAAATTGACGTGGTCCAATTGGACGAAATAATTCAATTGAACCGTAAAATTTCTCAATTTACTGGTGTGATATAATATCCTAAGAAGCACATATATATATTTTTCACTTCATTTAATGATAGACCTTGATAGCTAATAGAAATTTTATTTATAAATTTGACCTTGTCATTTTCAGCTTTTGTGACCTTACGTCATCGCCAGTACGTTTGTAAAGAACGTAATTTTCATAACATATTCCTTAATTTTTAAAATAAATGCCTGTTATAAATATCTAAATAACATACTATTTACTTAGGCGCTCATGTAGGCGTGTTTCAATCCATATGTTCTAACATATCAGATCAATAAAAATAACAATTCTTGGATTTTATTACTTTCCAATAAGAAAGTATAGATTTGTGGCAAAATAATTATAAATAAATAAAAAAAGTTTTGAACCTTTTTTCTATAGTTACTTTATAGTGTAATCTATATAGCTGATTGGCATTATTTTTTTTGTCAGTGTTCAAAGTCAACTATAATAATATAATGTTTAGCTATCTACCATTTGTATAGTAAGTGATAATTGTTTATAATAAATAATGAATCGACTAGAAATTATTAATCTGTATTATACATCCTATAGTCACATGTTTGAATTTGTACAAAGTTCAATATTTGCTGTAGTGATTATCTAATTTATACCTATGCATATATGTCACACACTTAGTTTGCACATTAGTTATCTTCCAGTACTATGTTAATGTATGTAGCATTTTAATTGTAGCTAATTATTACTAGAGAATTGCGAGTTGTGTCTGATGTTATTAAATTATATCAAAATCTATTGGGCATAGTTGTAATGTCTAAAGAAAAATGTATGCAAAAAATAATCGTATTATGAATGACTCTACAAATGTATCATGATTAGATTTTATCAGATTTTATTATTCTGTGATAAAACTAGCCAAAATGATCTCTCTTGTTTGTATAAGATGTCAAGATTAAAAAGTAGTCAAATAAGAATACTGCATTATGATAAAACTATTATCAGTGAAACTTGTTACAACAGCTATTTTAATTGGGACCATTTATTATGATACAAAATTATTATCAACAGTATTACTTAAGTTAGATTCTAATTGAAACAAATAATTATTATTTTTATTCTTATTCCTAGCTATTGGTTGCATCTCTAAATCATCCTAGTCAACAACAAGTCCGTAACTTGAATGTCCATGAGTACATAAGCTACACATTGTTGCGTGATCATGGCATTCCTGTACCCAAGTTCCATGTGGCTACCACACCTGAAGAAGTTGTCAAGTTTGCTACAGAGCTCAACACTAAAGACATTGTGCTCAAAGCTCAGGTAATGTAACAATATTGTTTTTAAAAATGTGTTTAATTACAACAATAATAAAATAATGTACACGAAATAATATTTCTTTCATTTTAGGTACTTGCTGGAGGCAGAGGAAAGGGCTACTTCAAAAGTGGCCTACAGGGTGGAGTCAAAATGGTTGATTCGTAAGTATTTCCACAGTTAAATATTAGTTTTCAAAGAAAATCTTTAATTTACCATAATATGAAAACAAAAGATGAGTGATTATAATCATCAATCTCTGGGTGGGTTCGTATTGTTATTGACGATGTCTCGGTTGTCAATGTGCATTGTTTATCATGCTCATAATTAGATTGTATGTTAGTAATGAACATCATACTGTATTTATGGAACATTATTCTTGAATAATGAATAAATGACATTGTAAGTGAACTTACAATATCATTTAAAATTGCAATAAATATTTTTTATTTAAAAGTATATTGTTTACATAAATGCCTATATTAAAAGTAACGTTTTGCCTACAGACCTGAAACTGCTGGCAAGTTAGCAAGCAAAATGCTCAACCAGCTTTTAGTTACGAAACAGACTGGTGCTGCGGGCCGCATCTGCAACAAGGTCATGGTGACGGAACGCAAGTTCCCACGTAGAGAATTCTACATCGCCATCATGATGGAACGCAGCTTTAATGTATGTAATTTAAGTTAATTAATTCCACATATTTACTAATCTGCATGGTTCAAGATCACAGGTCATTAAACTCCGAATTATTTAAATCGCTTACTCTGTCTATAAGTTGTTTACTAATACCGGCTTTGTTACAGGGTCCTGTCATTATTGCATCATCTCAAGGTGGTGTTAACATCGAGGATGTTGCGGCTACAAACCCTGAAGCCATCACTTATGAACCTATTGATATCAAACTTGGTATTCAAGATGAACAGATCACACGTGTTTTGCAAAAGGTACACATGTTTATTTAGTTTGTTAGTATAGCACATTCACATCAAATTAAGCTAATAAATAAAGTCACAAAATTAAGAATCAATAAAACTATTATGTTAAGTTAATTATATGCTTTTTTAGATTGGTTTAGAAACTGCGGAAGCACATGATATGGTAAAAAGGATGTATGATCTTTTCCTGAAGAAAGATGCGCTTCTGATTGAGGTGAACCCTTATGCTGAAGATGCTATTACTGGCAAATGTAAGTAATTTCATTATGAAATAACCAAGTTCTACATGTTGTAGCAAAAAGATGTTCTTGAAGGACAAACTGATTGATTCATCTAGCATTTAATCAACGGTCATGACGTAAATAGGTCATCTGTCTATTGGCAGGAAATAATAAATTAGTTGATGATAGTAGTTGTGGAAAGTGATATAGTGGTTATCAAACCACTACACTGTCACTTTCAATAATAAACTTATAATTTTTAAGTTATTCTCAATTAGTAATAGTTAATAATAGTTTCATTTGTATTGGTAAAAGCCCAAATGACAATACTTCGTATCATGATTAGTAATTACAGAGATAATCAGCCAAAAGTCATCACAAAATCATCAAAATGACCTCTTACAATATAAAAATAACATGCTTTAAAAAAATTTACAAGACAGTTCCATTATGCTCATAAATATATAACTTCTTGTAATAACTTGTGTATTGACATACAGAGAATGTACGGCGCAATAAATTCAGTCTAAAATTATCGGGAATGGACATGTGTCTCTGTACAATGACTTCATAATGTAGTACTTGGCCTTCGTTTAGAGCTGCTTCAATGTTTACACAAATTACTATAATAATATTATGTTGACAAATAATAAATATTTATTGCAGTAAATATTTACAATAATTAACTTGTTTCAGTCTTCTGCTTGGATGCTAAGTTCCGATTCGACGACAATGCAGACTACAGACAAAAAGAACTGTTCAGTTTGAGAGATCTGACACAAGAAGATCCCAAGGAAGTTAAAGCCGCTAAATACAACTTGAACTACATTGCACTAGATGGTAAGGTGCATGCAGCTTGGATAATCATATTGTATGTGTGAAGCTATTCTAGCCATGTTTGTAAAAAAATAATTCTGTTTTATAGGTACTATTGGGTGCATGGTAAATGGTGCTGGGTTAGCCATGGCTACAATGGACATTATCAAGTTGCATGGCGGCGACCCAGCTAACTTCTTAGACGTCGGTGGTGGCGCTACCGCGCAAGCTGTAGCGGTACGTTTTTGTCATTACAAAATTGGTGTAAATAGAAGATGTGTATTCTTATCTAATAATTCGTTATCTCATGCAGGAAGCTTTCAGCATCATCCTGTTGGATCCAGGTGTGACGGCTATCCTTGTGAACATCTTCGGAGGTATCATGAGGTGTGACGTCATTGCCGAGGGTATTGTGACGGCTGCCAAGAACCTTAACATCCAACTGCCCGTCATTGTCCGTCTCCAGGTACGATTTATTTCTAATTTAGTAAATAAATAGTGTCTAATCGAAAATTAATATAATAATCTGTTTGGCAGGGTACAAAAGTGAATGAGGCGAGAAAACTGATCGCCGAATCAGGACTCCGTCTGGTGCCACGCGATGACCTCGACGAAGCTGCACAGCTTGTGGTACAGCTCGCCGAAATTGTGACGCTCGCCAAGAAAGCTGGAGTTGAGGTGAAATTTGACATCCCTAAGTATATGTTGGAGAAGTAAAAGTAATGCAGTATTTTCATAATCTTTACCATTACTATCTAATTGGTCATCATTGTTGTATAACGTAATCCAGTTTATCTTGCTGCTTATAATATGATACAAATGATTGTAATACTTGGTAGTATTCCAACACTCACTTTCATGACTAGGGACAATCAGCTGTCCTTCATTCATTGTGGCATATTATGTTACATAAAGGATCATGTTATCTGTGAAATGATAAGGGATGTTCCAGCCACTAGGAGGATGCTTGTTGGCACTGGGCTATGGAATGTTCCTTGTCTAGGACAAATTGCCAGAAGAAAATAACAGACAGTATCCTATCACAAACATTGGATCTGTAAATAGTCTCCAGAAGGGTGCCATCAGTCATTAGTTCAAATGTAAATGACGTAATGAGTCTTACACCTTCATTTCAGTTCAATTAAATAGTGAAGTTCATTAGTTACGCTTATTACGAAGTGAAAATACTGTAAACATGCCAACATAATAATTAGTCATTTCACAGAGAACTCTATAACATTGTATATGACATTTTTGCAGTCTAGCTGTCCATGTTACTATGTGTTATGGTTATATTTATATATATATACGAGCATATGCTGAAGTACTTTGTGATATCTACATGTGAACTATTTAGCACTATTAATCGTATTCCTAGATTCCTACTGCACTTAGATCAAAGCCATTGATTCAACCACTCTGTAGTTGATAGTGAGTTGCTGATCAGATTTGTCATTTAGAAACTGGTTGCATTATAGCCAATTAGATTAAATAAATGTAATTCATTGATTTATTTATTGAACCACATTTAGTATAAGTGAAAATGTTCGATATTACACACATAAGAACTATTGTTATAAACGCATTGATGTTGTAGTGAAGTATTAAAATGCTTCAAGTTGTTATAAAATTGTAATTTGCTATAATATTATTATCGCGAACGTAAATCGATCGAGAAAAGTATTTCAATTGCCTAGCTATTAATTTACGATCATTGTATGTATTGTTAATGTAAGTACGCCCTCATCCGCAGAGGTGTACGAGACGTGTAACGACGCAATAATTAGTATTGTGTACATTATGTACTGTATGTATGTTTATTTGTAAATAGCAACTTATTTTAATTTGCCACGTTAAGGATCTCCACGGAGATTTTTTTCGAATAGTAAAGTACAACATATGGTATCAACAGTCGAATCCAAATATGTATGTTTAGTGTATTACAGTATAAATATTTATTTTTGGCTTCTTTTGAAGGATAAACTAATTTAAATAAATATTATTTTAGATCTGTATTGTTGTTTTTATATTTTCCCTTTTAGAGTAATATAATCGTAGTGTAGACGTTAGACGATATTTAGTTTGTGTCCACATAAATAAACTTAAACCTAAAATAAAATTTATTTTCCAAATTCAGTGCTAAAAACGAAAATCTAAATGATCATCAAAGTAAAAGTAAAAAAGTATTACATTTTAACAGCTATCCCTATGGCTTTAATGACATTATTCTTCCTACGTGTATTACATCGCGCATATGCGCTGCCACGCTGGATCAGAGCTTAGAATGAGATAGTTTTACGGTTAAAATATCGAAACGACTATGCGTTCGGCGCTCTGATTGGCCGGTTGCAATGAACCAACCAATTAGAGCGCCTAACACGGTCTCGTTTCGATTACTTTTATGTATTTTCTGGGAGGGCAACAGTTTATGTATGGGTCATCTGATAGTAAACAGGCACCATAGCTTACACCTGCACCCTGCAACAGAGTAGAGCGTAGTGGACAACGGCTGTATTTCACGCGCACTTTCCTCTATTCCTGGTATCGGCGACGGCGGCGCGCGTGACACTGTTGGCACGCTAGACTCGCCCGCCGGTAGCTGCGTTGGTGCTGGGTTCGAATCCCGGGTCGACTCAAAAACAGTGTTACATACCGTGCTCACTGTGTCACACTCCAAACCCGCAACACTAGTCTGAAGCAAATTTCAGACTCGGCTTCCAGGCAGGTGGTAATGCCCAGCCAGTCTCTGTTAAAGTTCGGACGACGGCCTATTTTGATGCCTCACGTACTTTCCGCGGTACGAAGTATTTCTCCCTCGCCAGTACTGAGACCTTGTCGAAACGGAGGAAGTGAGCCGTGCCCGTGCTACACGCATGCTACTGCCGATGTATGAGTGTCACGGTTCTTCACACTGCGTATGTGTTCCTTAAGTCTGGTTGTGATGTTGCGGCGAGTTTCACCGATGTAACTCGAACACAGTCGCACGGTATCATGTATACTCCGGGAACTGCCAGTGCATCTTTGTCCTTTGGCGAGCGCAGTAGATGTCGTAACTGACCAGGTGGGCGGAAGATCGTCCTGATGCTGTATCTACGACGTAACAGGTGTCCGATGGTATCGGTTACTCCTTTCACATAGGATAAAAGTGCTGGAGTCCGTTCCGCAACTGCCGGTCGTCTTTTACTTGACGAGCTCGCCATTCGAGTACTTTGACGCCAGTTGTACCCATTATTTCCCAGTACCTATCTAGTAAAGTAGTGAGTTCCTCGTCAAATTATTACGTTAGTAAGCCGAAAACATAATAATTTGTTTAGGTGATAGCATGTTTGGAATTGTACCCAATAAATAGAAAAGCTTTTATGTATTAGGGACACATTGGAGCCATAAGAAAACTAATAACAAATATTTTACATGAATTTCTATTACAGAAATGTTACGAAATCCAATAAGAAATTGGGCATATTGAGCTCTTTCGATATGCTGATGGTACCTAAAAATATATAATGTCATCGATCTTCGTGATAAACGAATAGGCATATCTAATGGTGCGCGCTGGTTGAAGCGGAGACTTGTGACATGTTTTGTTTATTATCATATCGCACAATAGATGTCTAGATGTGCTTATTGTTTATGTAAACGCTTACGTAAAATTTTATTTATAGTGCCTAAAGAGTCTGAGAAGAAACCATTTTATAATGATAATACTGTAGTGTATAGTCGCAAACTCTTTTATATGATATTTATGTATTTTGACCGCTTGAATGCACCGATATGAGACATAATAGGAAATACATCGTGTCTCGTATGGAACCACGTTTAGACACACGACGGGTTAAGGCAGGCCTGCCTTAGCAGGTAATAGTATCTACCTTTCGTTAATTATCCGTTAACCGATCGGGCTAGTAAAAAATACCTTTCCTAACTGAAAGTTATAATAACCCTAGAGACTTAGTAACGAATAGTACAATTCAATTCATCTATTCGTTAATGCAAGTACTACTATATTAAATCTGAAGCATGTTTTAATCAATTATGTTACAGATATCTATAACATACAATGTTGGTCAGAGTAAAGGCGGAACACCAAGCGTTGCCGGTACTTGTGCCGCTATAGGCCCGCCGACAAACATCCGTCGCCGTCGCATCAGGTCCAAATCCAAGAGGTGGTAATACGTACAAATTATCTTGTATTATAAAACTATCTTACAATTTTCAAGCTTCCTTAAAACTCGTGTAAAAAATTCCTTCCGTAAAGTTCCGAATGAGTTTTGAGTAGTTTAGGTATACTTTTCTTCACAATCTTCCTACATCGCAAATACAAGAATATGCAAAGTTAAATAAAAAAAAATATACGGTTACCATACCAATATCTTTCAAATATATTTTACTTCACTGTTTGAACATGTGGTAAAAGTGAACTGAAAACACTTTTACGTGACTTAGGTATCATATATTTCTCTGTATTCATATATTTGTGCATATGTTGAACTTATCATACTGCAAGCATGTTATTTTTGTTTTATAGGAATTGTGAAAAAGTATATTCAACATATTTACCTTCCTTCTATATTATTATGTAATACATGCTTGACGGTAACTTATGGCAAATAATGAGATTGTCATTTACATAATATCTGTTTTGTTTTAGTTCAACATAAGTCAAAGGAAAGACAAAGCTTTGCGAACATATTCATCAGCAAATGGAAAATAATTCCGTATTAAAAGAGTAACCTACCACTACTAAAAAAAACTCAAAAATTATGCTGCAATATGGATTGTGTATATTTTCAATTTCAATAAATTCATTTAAAATAGGTGTATATGAAATCTCATAGAAGGATTTTGTTACATTCCGTAATATTGCACTTATGTAAAAATAATGATCGACATGTGACTGTAACTTACATAGCTTTTTTTATGTATATTGTGTATATTTTAGAATTATTTCGTGATATATGGTTTTTAAGTGTATAGTATAAATTTTAGGATTATTAATTAGGTAAATCCCAACATAATTTTCGTATATTTGTAATCATCAAAAGAAGTGGTTTATACGACCCAATATGAATATTTTTTTATACAAATTAACATTGTATCTATAATTTCCAATAATAAAACTTTATATGATTAATATATTTAGCTTTTTATTTGTTACTATATAGACTTATGGAAATATTATATTATATTCATATAAATGGACATAGTTCACTTTCAAATATGAATGAGTTTAAACTAATACATATTGGAGTTGAACTAATCTTCAATAAAAATATTCTTAAATTGTTCAAATTAACAATTGCACTGAGACATGTATAGCGTGACATCAATGAAGGAAATTAAGCAATTTACTTATTATGTACACTAAATGACTTCTTTGCTAGGTGTAGATATACCTAAAGCTTCTTCATATCCCGTCTTCTTTTCGTGCTTGCCTGTAAAGTGAATGATTAATTAGTAAGTATACCAGAATGGTTTTAGTAAATTGATATAAAAGAGGGGTACTGGTTAGTTAGTTAGTTACCTTTCTTAGATGATGATTTATTCCTCTTGGACTCTTTGTCTTTTGATTCTTTTTTAGATTTTTTATGTTTTTCAGTCTTAGTGCCCTTGGGGTGGGGATCGACGAGTATAGCTTCTTCCACTTCGTCACTTCCTTTCACAGATTTCTTGCCATTTGTCTTACTTAAATCCTCGATAAGCAGATCTTCCGCTACTTCTGGCAGAATTAAATCTACAGACTTTTGCTTAGATTTCTTTTCCTTCTTTTTCTTTGATGCTTTGTCGCCGGAACCTTTATCAGCCAATTTGTTTTTCTTTGATGATTTTGACTTTTTAGTCAACAATCCACCTTCAGGAGAGGGATATTGATTTATTCTTGATGTAAGTAGTTCTTCGTCACGAAGCGGCCTGTCGAGTGTACAACATACATCATTAGCTGATGTTCTATCATTTATAAAAGTAATTAATTACTGTAGAGAGAATTACTGACTGATCGAGGTCGAGGTCAAGCGCACGGTGGGGGTCGTCAGGTGGCGGCGGCGGCTCCTCGTCGGACAGTGCGGCGCCCTCGGGCAGCTCGCCACCTTCCGCCACTGCGGGCCGACTGAGACTTGCCTCTTCTGAAAAAAAAGAACAAACTTTTTTACATTTACATTGTTTAATAATGGCAATCTAAGACAAGCATCAACAATTTAAATATTTCACTGGAGCTCAATGTCTACATTTTAAGTTGGCATTATTATTTTTTTTAATTTAATTTTTTTAACGATGAAATTGGCAGACTCGCAGCCCGTAATGCTACTACTGCATTGTAGCATTATATTGGCCAAAAATACATAGATACAAATAACAATTAGATCATGTCTCCGTAAGTTTCTATAACAAGTGTGACGGTACCTTCACTATCGGAGTCGCTCGATGGTTTGTCCTTTTTGCTTTTCCTTTTCTTTGACGTTCGTTTTTCTTTCTTTTTCTTGCTTGAATTCTCTCTTGACAGTAAATATTTATCAGATCTCTTGGCTGGAAAGCGAAATAATAATAATGATTATAGACTTGTTTGCAGCTGCAGTATCCATTGACGACAAGTAAATTTAGTTTATATAACTGAGTCTACTGGCGGTAAATAAATTCAATATCCATCGTAGCCCTGACATAGAGCAAGAGTAGGATCGAGATTGTTTTTAGTCAGTGAGTCACACCTCGCGTAAGGTTGCGAGAAGCCATTTGATGATTTTCTGTCCATACAAAAAAGGTATAAGGCTACTCACTGTGGACTTGCAGTGGGACTTCGAGAGCTATTTCAGCGATGGGAATGTCGTCTTGTTGGTAGGACCGCGGCGAGTCATCCTTCAGGTAATGTGGGTTGTTTGCTTGCTCCTGTCTTCGGGCCTCGCGTAACTACGGAAAATATATGATAGTAAATAACAAGAGGAATCAGCGACCTCATACAACAATATAAAGTAAATTATGGCAAACTAGCTTTTAAATCGGAATTCTTTGTTTACCAATGACAATATGATGATAATATTGACTGATTGAGTAATAAATTAATACAAGTGTAGACGTACCATGGCAAGTTCCTCCGGCGTGAACTGTGCGGTGGGTCGCGCGTCTTTTTGTGGCGCTGCGAACACGGCGGCTTCGGGCTCGCCCTCCGAGCTAGAACTATCCGACGACCAGTGGTCGTGGGACAACCATTGCTCCAGATTCAAACTGAAATCATCAGTTATTCATTACATAAATGGATCGAGAGTATATAGCTACAAGATTATAATGGAATGTCTGTATTTTGTTAGTTACTGTAATTGGGCAAATTAAATAAATGAACTAAGTGCACATACTCTGCAGGCATAGGCACTTTCTTCTGTGCTTTGGGCGCCACCGGCTTCAGTTCCCCGTCGAACAAGTCTGCTAGTTCCTCAATTAGGCCGCCGCTGAAGCCCGACGTAGTACTTTCTCCGTTTATGGGGTCAAGATTATCCTCTTTTTCAAGGTCATCACTGCAATAAATTGTAAAGTTTATAACAAGTACATAACTAAGCAATTTTATTTGCTCTGCGTTTGTGTATTAGAAAGTCAGTATTATCTTCTGTTAACTTTGAGTTAGAAACTTGCTTTGGTCCTTCAGGCCGGGGCCTCCAGTACTCCTACGCCCCAGATAGACTAGATTTCCGCTCGACGCGTTAGAATTAGTTTTAAGTTGTAAAGAGGTATACTAGCAACATACGTGTGTTGATGCTCGACGAGGATGGTGTCAGGGCGCGCAGTGTCCGGGAGCGTGGAGTCTGGCAGCGCGGCGAGGACGGAGTCCCCGGGGCTCAGGCGGCGCAGTACTAGCGCCAGCAGGGCGCTCGCGTTGTGTGCTCGCTCCTGCACCTCCATGTCCTCGCTACATAGCAGTGGCCGCAGACCCGATAGAGCCTCGCGGAGGATCTGCAAACACGCAAACACATTCTTATATTTCAACACGTCTTTTGATCTCCAAAGAGTTAAGTAGAGGTGGTTAAAAAGAAAACTCCATGTAAACATCCAAATAACGTGAATCCGGATAATATTTTAGCCGACTCTAATCGGAACCTTTTTCTTTACTCGACCAACGAAGCAGATGCCACTTTTGCGGTCTTATATCACATTAAATTCATCAACTTCAATGAAATAATTATGCAGTTATATTATTATGCTATATGGAATTTTTTTTTAAACGTTGCCCCACATTAGGATTTTCTCCTGTGTCGTGGGTGCGTTTACAAACATACAAGTTCACATACACAATGACACCCAGACCCGAAACAACAATTTGTGGAGCACACAAAGTGTTGTTCGGGAATCGAACCCGCGACACGTTGCACGGCAGCCGGTTGCCCAGCCACCGCACCAACCGTGCAGTCGAATTGGTGTAATTTCATTAGGACAACAAGCTTCCCCCTATTTTTAATGAAATAATAACATGAGGTAACTAACAGAAATAGCGGCTTCCATATCGTTCCGTCCCTCGTACAGTCGCAGTAGGTTGGCGACGATCTTGAGCGCGGCGTGTACACAGACGGCGCGCGCGCGCATGTGTCCGCCGCCTGTACCCGCGCATATTAGCAGACCAGATACTGACTCGCGCATCACTGACTCCTCGCTGAAATAACAACATTAATCAGTATAAAAATAAGGACATAGTTTTTGCAAACCGACATGACTTTAGATAATGTTGCAAAGATTTAAGAATGAATAAAAGTGGTTGGGCCCTGATGTGTCCTAAAACTACGCTAACCAAAATGCTGCACATATAAGACTCGAGCAGATAGGATGTGTATGCGGAGTCGTGTACATACAACTGAGATGTAACTTGAGACAGGACGCGCATCCGGTATGCTCGAGCCTTTATTCAGCAGTAGACGTATAACAAATTAAGAAATGACGATGATTACAGGCTGTATTTTGACATATTATAACTTTGAGTATTTAAAACGTTGGTATTTTAACAGGAGACTTGAGTAAGAATAGTATAATTTTAACACAAAGGAAACCAATTTGTAAAATACCTGCAGGAACACAAATGTCTCTTTCGAGCATCAGCAAAATTAAGAGAGAAAGATTATATTATACTCTACAAACAGTAGCAAAAGATTCATTGGCTATCATTTATTACGCAATCAATGAAAGTTTGGAAATTCATACGTGGTGGCCTGGAGGTTTAAGGCTCCCGCTTCTCATGCATGAGGGTGCGAGTCGAAACCTACCAACAGCAAGTACTAATGCGACTTTTTCCGAGTTATACATATGTACTTTACTTTAAGATTACTTAGCCACCACTGAGAAACGGTGAAGTAAAGCATCGTGAAGAAACCTAAGCTTATAATTTCTAATTATAAGTTTCAAATTGCCAACCCGCATTGAGATTAATGCTGATAGCTTCTCTGTGAAGAAAAGGCCTTTGGTCAGCAGTGGCCACTAATAGGCTGCTGATGTTATTGTTGATTGACACTCAAAATAAATACGTTTATGTTTTGAATCAATGAATAAGGTGGTAGATAGTTACCGGCAGTACTCAGCGAGCACGTATGCGGCGGCGTAGAGCACCTCCTTGGAGGCCGGGCCGGGCGGCGCCGCGGCCGCCCGCGCCACCAGCGCGCCACACTCGCGCGCCGCGAACTCGCGCACCTCCGCCACGCGCGCGCCCACCTCCGTCACCTGCGCCGCCACCATGCGGCCTGCGACACGCCATCATTCAATATACACGAACTACAATACTAATTACCCAGGATAAAGATCCCAGCCGCACTAGAACGGAACCTCGGAAAATTGTGAAACAAGAATCCGAATACAAGCAGCCGCTCAGGCTACGGACAACCTAGCGGGTTATCAGCTCAAAGTAGGAGTAGGAAAGGGGTGGTTTTTAGTCAGTAAAAAAGAAGAAAAGAGTAGTCGCACTTATGGTTTTGTCCCGTGCCTATTCTTCTATACAATTAATTGGTCCGCAATTAAAAACCCTATTAATACACACCTTATTAAACACTCGTTTTTTGTTAAGCAACATTTAGATAGACACAGACATTTAGATAGCGCCGGAAATGTCAAATAGCATTATCATTTTCTATTCACACTCAAATGCGAGTAATAAGACAGAACTTACCATGCTTAGCGCTGGTCTCCATCTCAGTGAGCTCAGCCAGTACAGTGACGTACCACTCGAAGTCCACGACATGTTGGTAGTTGTTTTGCGAACAGATCTCGATGATACGAGTGAGCAACTCGTCGCGGTACAATGTTCCCTCCGCCCGATCCATGTGCACCATCAACTTCTTAACGATCTCCATCAAATTCTTCTTTGATACCTGATGACAGAGTAATGTGTTTAGAACTGTGTTTGAAGTATTTTGTTTTTTTAAGAGGGTGTGGCTAAAGAAATACTTATAAGTCGGTCTTATAATATCGGTAACAAAGCGCTTTATTCCGCGATTAAGTTAAGGCACAGAATCGGAAATGTCTCTGACGGAATAGGGTGGCAAACGAGCAGACGGATCGCCTGACTATGGTGAGTAATCTGCGCCGACCATGGACACCCGCAACATAGGGAAGTTAAAGTGCGGTGCCGGGCCTCTTGGGGCTAGGGATTTGAGGATTTGGGAATTTGGGATGGGTCTTAAGAACAGCGATTTCATGGATTTAACGAGACTATATGAGCATCTCATTACGATGTAAATTTTTATAAGGCCTATTTTCTCTGTAATAAAACTTTAGATGTTCATTATTGCGTTGTCTACTTACCATACCATACAATAAGCCCAAAGCTCTCAGCCTGATGGACTCATCTTTGTCATCTAAACAGGCCAACACCAGGTCCTTGTGTGCCTGCACCGACTTGGGGTGAGACTTGAGTATTCTTGACATCGCCAACAGGCCTAAATATTTTACTGTTCACAAAAAAAACATAGAACATATAAAAATTGAGCTACGAAATTCAACCTTACGACTAAAAGATTAAGATTAATCTTAATTGGTGTAATAGTAATTGTTGTATGGAGTGAACAGGTTGGCTCAAATTGGCATCAATCAATTTAGTCTAGGTGGGTTATTGACATGGCCTATTTCTTGGTATTTTATTGTGTAGTTACTTCCAACGGTCTCAATTAGTTACGAATATATTATCCTACAAATACTGAAATAAAAATTTCTGTGTTCGCGTGTGTTGATGACTGATAACTTTTTCTAAGTGACTATTACTAGTAATTATCAACATTAAAGAAATAAATGACAACTCACAATTTTGATCGCTGTCTTCAATGAGTATTCTGAGTTTTTGCACGCAGAGTTGTACAGAGGCGGCATGGCCTGGCATACCGCTGCTGATGCTGATCAGTACCGCGATCACCGTGTTAATGCACTCGTACAGCAACGACATCGCTGACGTACTGCACACACACATACAAGATCAAATATCTACCGTACAGACCTCTGCATCTATCTATTGCAAGAAGTCGAGAAACAGGCTTTTCATTATATTAAAATGTTAACATATTAAGCTGGAATTAGAATTACTCTCTGTAAATATTATTTTTTATGTTAAACACTAATTAGTTTATTTAATGCATTGTTCTTGCAATCCTGCTTTTAAATTTGAATCTAAAGGCGTCGTGTTAAAATATACATTGCTTTATGAACAAATGTCGATGTGAACTGTATCACAATCTCAAGCCTAGAACTAGTGTTTCGAAGCTCTAATGTGTTACTCAGCCTCAGGTGCTACAGTGTAAAATAAGCTAAATTAAACAAAATGTTAAACAAGCAATGCAAGCAGTTTCTTACAAACAAACACCTTTACTAACTTTCTAGACTTATCTACCTGAAAATTAAGTTATTATAGTAGCAACTATTGTAGATCTTAATAACTATTGTTTATTATGCAACACAATACATAATAATATTCCTTTCACCCCATAGAGACTACATGTACGTATTGCTACGATGAGGACTCTGTCTGTACTACAACAATTTGGACAGGTTGGTTCCTGCTTCAATGGACAGTAACTGACTCACCTATGTATTAAGTTAGTTAATGGTTCTATCAGTTTCTTGCCAAGTCGAGGCTCTAATGGGGTTAAGGCACCAAACTGCAACAAACACAATGAAACTACATAAGACTAGCTTATGTGATAGCAACTGATAGCTACATGATATCATGTCTGACTAGATCTTCTATGTGGTCTCCTGTTTCTTCCTTGTCCCAACTCATGGTACTCTTTCGTAAACTGTTGGTATATTTGGGTATAATAACAGCAGCGAAAATAATACAAAAATGTGAGCCTGATGTGCCAATTCATAAGTGTCATTCGTGTTGTTTATATTTTCATTATTTAAGCTGGAACCTAAGAAATGTACAACTACAAATCTACAAAATACTTCATTGAACATTTAGCAACCATTTCGTACATTCCAGCCGTGGTATAGTCAGAATGTGGTATAAACTAAGTTGTATAATTTCAATGGTGAGGTGTGGTGAATGAATCTAGCAGTTTGGGTAAACTCTGTTTTTGTAAAGTTTCACTAATGGTACCTGCAAATTAGGTCTATGAGGCTTTGGGTTATTTTTCTTCCAATGTCTGGTTCATACTGTGTCATTAAACCAAACTGTGAAGAAGTCATAGGTTATTTCAGATCTTTCATGTGCAGACATACATTAGCAAAGTTTATTTAGGTATATGTAAATGTTTGACAAACCACTCAGTGTCTCCTCTGTATGAGAAGATTCTTTTCTTTACGTCAATAAACAACATTGTTAATGTCAGTAAAATGAAAAAAAAACCTTGAAATTTAGTCTAATGTTAAATTTAGAAAGAGTCAATGCATCATGTAGTGTTCTGGAAGGAAGAGATAAACGGTTACATACACAATACAAGATGACAATAAGGATACATACCAATTTGATAATCTTAATCAACATCCAGTTGTTGGTGGATGTTGTCATCAGTTTGAAAAACACTGGAGCTAATGACAGATAGTTTTTAGGATTTTTCCTTGCTAATTCACATACTACATTCACTGCAGCCGACTGTACACCTGCAAACAAACATCACTGTGTAAATACTGAAAAAATTTCACTACTCCTATGTTGCAGTCAACTATGTTAAGAATAATGTACCTGGATCAGGATCTTCTAATTTTTCTTTCAATTTAGGGAATGCAGGTCTTAGTGCCTCTGGATACCTTAAAAATACCTTGTACATCATAAGCACAGCTTTCATTCTAAGATAGGGCTTCGTGGAACTCATCTACAAATAATCATTTTATTTATAAACAGAAACAACAAAACACATTAATATCATATAGAATTGCATCTGCATCACTCTGATAAAACTGTACAATTTATTAAAGTTCAGTTTCATGAATGCAAGCCTTTTATCCAACATGCATGTATGATCAATAATTAGCCTTGGATGCAGATCAATTGAAGTGCCAACTTGTCACAGTCAACAGTGCACTTAAGTTGAACACCAAGTCAAATATTAGCTTTATTATGTACTCACCAATGTCATGATGTCATTAGCCAGGTCTCTAGCTAAGTCATGGGATATAAAACAGCTGAGTCCACTTAGTGCCAGGCCGGCCTCATACTGATTCTGTGCATTGAGATCCTTCCTTATCATATTTGTAGTGAGCATTAGTAATTCTGAGTCCGCATGAAATGACTGACTAGCTGCTAAGTAACCAATACGCTTGTAAGTAAACTTATTGGAACTCATCACTTCTATTATGTTGAATATTGCCCAGGATATGTCATATCCCAGCATTTGGAGCTGAAATAAAGGTACAGTGATATCATATTTGCATACAAGTTATGATCTTGTGCCTATTAATAGAACTTACTATGAATATTCATTACATACTAGATTAAAAATGTAATAATAATTTATAACATTACATATGCATAATAACAGTGAATATAACCATCAGTTACAGATTAAGTATTGCAAAACTGATGAAAACATTTATCACTCTTGTATTTGAATTCAATAAAAAGATAAGTTGCCATGTGGGTATGTTATCAGGACACCATTTTCTGCTTACAAAGTTTATCTAATTTGACATACCTACACATAGTGGTGAGATAAATAAGAATATATACATGTAGGTTTAACTATGTACTTACATATGTCAGCTTAGCCACTGCATTGGCTTTCACTGCTATGTTGTCCTGCCTCAGTTCTACTTTTATTTCTTCCATACATTGTGCTATATACTTCGACTAAAAAATATATGATACATTTTATTTAACAAATATTAATAGTACGGGGAATTCAATGTTTGTAATAACTATAGGTATTTGTTGAATAATCCTAGTAATATTATATTTATTTTGCTAAAAAGTAATGATTGCTAAAAATTGTTTATTCATCCAAAAATTTCATTTTGTGTTGGATTCATATTCAATGTGTAGTGCAGCATGTTTACTTTCATTACTGACAACAATTACCCACTAAATTATATGTAAACATTGGATCTGTGTAAACAACAGAAAATGCTGCTATGCAAATTTTATGATTCATGCCTTAATTAAATATAAGACCAAACTTGCCATACAACCAACACTCCATATTTGATTATGAATATAAAATAGATTACAAGGCCTAATGGCATTCGAACATTTATAATAAAATTTGTATCATGTAAATTATTTTTATAGCTTCCTAAATATTTAATTCATCATTTGAAATCAGTCCAAGATGTATGACAGTGGAGGGGTATATAAAAGAAAGTGTCAAGAGCCAAGAATAAAAAAGGCTTTGCTCTCAGAGCGAGATTGAATGTGTTAGTGATAAAATAAAATATTTGAATAAAAATTAAGCAATATTACACATATTAATACCTCATTATCTTTGTTATTTCTGATTCCTCGTACTAAGTCTGTCAGATTTTTATCGAACATTCTCTCGAAGTTCCCTTTGACTTTTTTCAAAGCCATGTTGATGATGAAGTTTCTTTGACCATTAATTAAGATTCTGATATCAATTAAATTAAGTAAAATTAAAGAAACATGTCAACAAAATTACAAAATTGAAAAACTCGTAAGCAACTACGTCTACGTCAAGAAAATGACAACCATAGAGCTAACATATTCCGAAAATATTGATGTGTTGTTCTATTGATGTTATTTGTTACATCGTGATTAGTCGATTTTTGTCCAAACTTTGAATGAAATATTAATTATCAGCGTTTTTTCTCTATTTGGCATAAAGGGAGCTATAGATGATTCGACGGCCGCGTGCTGCGCTCTATCTATTATATTCCGCTAGAGTACAGATTTCTATGCAACCAGTGGCAACCAGATGGGCAGACATTGCAAAATTCAGGAATCACTACAATAAACGAATGTATCGTGGTCGAAATGTCTATTGCCTAACAATATAAAAACAAAACAATCAAATGTCAGAGTCGTTTCATGTCATTGTCAAAATCACGTCACTACCAAAGTACATAATATTGGAGAAGAATTGTATTGTTTATTGTTTAGATTTTCTAAATTAGATCGTTTCTTCTTAGAATAAAATAAAACAATGATTATATTTTTGAGCGAGTTGCAAAAGGAACATCTTAGCTTACTGAACCAGCACTCTGTCCAAGGTTAGTGTTGAATGGTTATAATTATTTACTAAAAAATATAAGATCCTAAAGTTTTAATCGTTTATTTTCAGTTCTAATAGATTTCTGTAAGCTAGCATTGGACTTTTTGAATAATGGAGCCAATCAGAAGAAATATAGTATCGCTGCAGGTAAAAAAAATAAGTATTAATTCTTTTGAAGCACTTATTTCTGTTATTGAATTAGACCCTATTTAAAAATTCTAATTCCTATCTCAGAAGTGCACAGAGACCGATAAAAATGTATTTTCTTCTTGCGGAAGGAATTTATCTACATCCTGTTTATTCAATTCGCAATAACACCTATATTTGACATAAATGAAATAAAATTATGTGTACAGGTACTTAAAATTTTTGTCTGTATTTCAGAAAAACTCGATGTCTCATTAACTGCAGTACAAAATCTGGTTCATGCTTTAGTGTACCTTATAGTGGAAGCATGTAGATTAAATGTAAGTTAACTCGTCGAGTACCGTATTTATAGACACAATTAAAGAACAATAGGTTGCGGTCACCAGTGACCGCTTGGTGTTTGACAGTTTAAAACAACATTATTGTAAGAAAACCTGTCTTGAAATGTCTAATAGAGGAGGTTCTTGTAGCATAGCTAGCATACATTTTGTGAGAAAATACAACAAATTACTCATATATTCGAAATAGTCACAAATTGTGTGTTTCTATCTTATTTTTTAGCTGACAGATGCGGACTTGAAGTCTTCTTTGGCTATAGCGGGCTTCTCTGCTGAGCAACAGGAGGTTTTGGTAAAGTTGTACAACACTAAGAAGGCAGAACTGTCTGATGCATTGAACCTTCTGCAGCAGAAGGATCCCTCATACCAGGATCTTTCATGGAGATTTGAAATTCAGGTGAATAGAAATAGAGATTTATTAATTTATTTTTAAATATAAAATCCTTTAACAGTATATTAACTTTACAGGTAGCCTCAAAAAATTGTAAACAAGAAATAAAACCAATGATAGCTATGGATTTTATGACTATGAAGCCTAAAAATTTTGGTCAGTTTGGGGACCATAAAGAGAGGATAGAGTATGAGAAGGAAGATGAAAAGAGTTTGAATAACAAACAAATAAATTCAAGCATACAAGATGCTAAGGCAGCCAGTCATTGCCAGAATTCAGTCAACCATATTCTGCTGCAATGTGACATACCTAATTTACTGCATTTAACCAACAAGTTAGAGCAAGCTTTGAAGGAGTCTAAAAGTCAACATGTGCGAAAAGTACAAAGATCTATTTAGACTTTGTTATTATTTATTATAATATTTTTATTGCCATTTTAAAATTTTATTAAAGGATATTGTGAAAGTATAATATTTGTGTTTTACTTTGAAGTCACTAGATGGCGCTACGAGTATTTTATAGGGTTTATTTTGTAGTAAATATTCGTCGATATTCACGGCAAGTCAGCAGGCAGTCAGTCAGTCCCCTCCGATGAAATTATATTGGATGACAGATGGTAGGGTCTTAAGCTTGTCTCGCTTAACATTCCACTCTCTCCTTTCTACGTCGCCTTTTAACTTCGATCTCCTTGTTGGTCACAGACATCACAGTACGCCAGACGCTTCCACAGTGACCTGTTAACCCCTCGAGCGTCCTTATGAGCACCCGGTGGATCATAAGTAAAAATGCTCCATGCTGCTTTCTCTTTTATAAAATCTATTATTGTTTTGTTTTTATTTTGACTGTATTTTTTATTTCTATAGTAATGATCCTTGTTTTCGTGTGCCAATGGCCAAATAAATGCATTTTCTTTCTTTATTTCTTTCTTTCTCCAAATGTCACGTGTGCCCCCGTTGGATCATAAGGAACGCGGACGCTCGACGGGTTAAACAATACCATCAACTGTGATAGCTCTGCATACCTCTTATAAATATACCTACATATGTCTACAAAAACAAAGTAATGACCTTGACGTCCTTTCCAAATTCCAAGTACGGATTTAAAATGTCATTCATTTCTACTGCGATGTTTGATTTCTTCTCTACTTAAAATTAAATTAACCAAAAAATCCTTCATTGCACCGCGCATTGCGTTTATCTGCAAACAACCACAACACGATTAATTAATCTACTCGCATTATTTTCACAGGTAATTCGATTTTAAAGAACGAAGTTTTTATAAGGTGTAAAAAATATATCATTATTAGGATTATTTCAGTTGCTCCGTTCCTATCTATAGTAAGTTCAGTCTCATTTATTTAACCAAGTCTCATTAACTGTCTAATTAATAATTAATTTGATTGAAGACGCCAAGCGTGACGGCAATCTACCGGAACAATGGACGTAGTTTGTTCGAAACGATCTTATCTACTAAACATAATAATTTAAATAAGGTAAACAAACATTAAACATCTTTTTGTGCAATGAAGTAACATTTTTAACAGTTTCACTGTTTTGAGGACCTATAAATATCTGTACCACGATCCATCAAAATTAGCTCAGCGCTTTTAAAGTGTTAAAGCGCAGATAACAAAGGAATGTAGGGGGAGGGGGGTACCTTCCTGTAACCAAGGATGAATAAATTACGCAAGTCCACTTTCGCAATAATAATATTCATTATTTGTTATAGGTAAGTACGTTGTAATAGTTATGTACCTACTCCCACGTGCTTATTGCAGTGAATATTTCATTTAAAAATATTTTGTCCAATATAAACGAAAATATGAATATGACACATTGCGGCCCGGTTTATGAGTTTGGGAAAAATGACAATTAAAGCGGTCACGCTGCAGCTGTGCCAACGATATTTACCAGATTGAGTAAATACAGGAAAATGTGGCAAAATATTATTTTAAATAAACAAGCAAGGGATCATGACACACCCACACCTACAGGTATATTTAAAAATTGAAGAATCATTTTGTGATAGGTAGGTACTAAGTTACCAAGCATTATTACCTACTTTCGTTTATTTAATCTCTTTTTCTTTTGTTAAAGCACAAATAGACGATCGCACTGAACCATCACCTTTGTCCGCTTCGAGCCATATTAGATAGTGTGTACAGCAGTCCGTCGCACATTTTCATTCAATGGATACCACTGGACGGGGCCGATATTATTTGTGACGATATCTTACGAATGCTTCTATTTTCTAGCCTCATTTGAGACTGAATTTCTTCGTTACTTATCCTATATTTTTTCTGTTGTGACTTCGAATTTAAAACCTGTAATAATATTAAAAAAAACCTTTAATTTATGGTTTGTTTATGCACTTAAAATTATACAGAGGTGGACTTAGGCATTCTAACTTGTCAACGACTGAGATAACGCTTTTGTAATAAACAATCAATGGGTTGAGGGTAGGTATGTGAAGGTCGTGTAGACGCCTCTACATAATAATTTGAATTTAAATAACGGTGTTCCCTGTGAAACCAGTATTAGAGTACATAGTAAAGACTGTTCTGATACTTGCAGTTTGTGTGTGTCCGACACAGGAATCAAGTCATAGGAATCCTGTGGATATTGAGTATATACAATCAAAGGCGCTTCCAAATAAAATTGTCTGTAATCGCCGAATTAGCTACCGTGCACGTCCTCGTAACATTTCACTCGTGACCAATTTGGGGCTATTTATTTTCATTAAGTGAATGGATCTGTTTATTTTGGCTTTCAATCGTAAGTGAACTGAGTGGTAGCATCTAATCATCTTGGGTGTTCTCTGTTGCGACAGAATTACAACTGTTTTAATCGTTTGGAGCGCTTATAGGGTTTATTTATAGATCGTAGAGCTAGGTACATACGGTAGAGCACACAAAACGGCGTGATATACTTACATACAGCGCAGCGCGCAGCTGTGTTGAGAGTAGAGGCGGGCTTTCCGTCACTAGTCACTATAGCGTAGTCGTCAGTACGCCGGCAACGCTCGAGCAATATGCTCGTCGCCTAGAGCATAGAGCTCACGGTTATTCAACACACCAATCTACTTAACTGTGATACTTAATAAATGTAATTTATATTTTCCTAGTTACATTTAAATCCATAGTTTAATACGGTGCGTTTTCTTTGCGGGACACTTCAACTTTCGTCTATCAGAACAGTGAAATAACTCAGTGGTCAGTGAATCGGTCGAACTGTACTAAAATTTACGAATAGTTATATTATGCAATCTGTTTTGAAAACGAATGCTTAGTGTATCGGAAATTTCAAAGGGTGCCGTTGTTGCCTCATGTTGTTATTAAGCCGGTGTATGTGATAATAACACTCGCAAGTTTTATCAATTGACGGCACAGATTTGTTTGTTTTGAGGACACGATCTGTTGGAACTGAACTCAAGTAAATATTTTAAATTCCTCAGTGTACTTGAATACGTATATGAGTGAATCATGGACTCGAAAGTAGTATTGAAAGAAAAGAATCCCCACGACAAATCGAACTTCATCTCGAAAATATTTCTAACGTAAGTATTACCACGTGTTAATAAATATTGTAACTATTATTTAGGTATCTATCTTCATTGATGCTGCATCCGGTCTAGCCGAGTCAGGCACCAGCGAGTTGAAAAGAAGAAAAAAAAAATACCATTCGACCGGAGCTTTTAGTAAAAAAACATAGTAATGTCGTAGATCTTATTTTCCTACGTTCGATTAGTATTCGATATTATTTTTAGTTGCGATATTGGAATCAAAAACAAAACAATAATAATATGCAAACTCGTTCATCAGTATTCCACACCAGACGCACATAGTCACCGTGACCTTCTTGCTTTCATAGTTTCATACCAATAACAATTTCACGTGTATCTGTTGCTCTTACGCTCAACTGACGAACGTATTGCGAAGCTAGACAATTTAACTTTTAAATTAAAACATTGTGCTCAGAAGCATGAGTTAGCGTTTTATAACAACTCCTGTTATAGATAGATGACTAACATCACATAAGTCACAAAATTGTGTTAAAATGTTATCAAAGTGACCGTGAACTTTGCTGTTCGTGTTGAGAGTTAATTTTAATTATAGCAACGTTCATCAGGTTTATTGATTAGGTAAATGATTTATTTTTTGAGTAATAGGTTCGAACCCGAGACGTTGCAGTCGTAATTTCGACTTGCGTCCTCAAATCGTTGCTTAGTACAAGACGAATGGCTGCACTATGCAGCATCTTTTATTAGGAAATGTATATCAAGTTATCTAATTTAAAAAAATAAATAAATATAAATTTATCAGTTGTTGAATAAAAAATATGATGAAAACTCTTAAATAAATAAATTGTGTATCAAATTGTATAAAGATATTTTTGGCGTGTAATGATAAGAATAATCTTCCTTTTTTAAGGAACATTTATCTATCTGATTCTGAAGTAGATTCTACATTTCTTTACATGCAATTATATTTAATTTTTTTATATTTAATGGGGCGACGTTTGACTACTATCTCGCTTGGTGGTAAGCGATGATGCGGTCTACGATGTACCTAAATATCTTTTAAAAGTATCAGCGATTTCGACCTCAATAAAGTCATTCAGAAATTAACGAACACAAGTTACAAAAGCATTGTTTGTGAAAAACAACTTCAAAGACGTTTACATTAATCGAATATCGGAACTCGGGAAGGGAACTCTGTATACAATAATTGAGGTCAATGACATAGTACCGAATTCGCTTCACACATTAGTATTAAAGTGTTAAGTAGGTAGAGTCGGACACTTGATCCTTTAGTAACCCATAATTATAATAGCATAAGCTCATATTGGCAGTACCCTATATCATAATAACAATAAGTCGTACTCGTATCACTTAACCAACGATAAGAAATGTAGGTATGCCATAAAAATCTATTAATTAAATATCAACCTGGGAGCCTGATTTATCGCGGTAGAAATCCATTTTATTAACATCATGGCGGTGTGTCGTCTGTAGAAAAACAATAGGGAAAAATGTACCTACTATCGTAAAATACGTAACATAATATTTTCACGCTATTTTTCACGGAATATGTTTTAAACATTAAACACCCGTAGTGTGTAAAATGTAGAATTTTCACCACGTTAATGATAATTTCATACTAAATGTCTACAACCACGGTATGGAATGGAAATCTCTCGCCGCCGTCAGGTACCTATGCGCCCGAACCTAACTATCAACCCTCGTGTTACATTTGTTAAATAATAAAAGTTAAACTTTTTAGGAGAAACACCCTCGTAGTGGTGCCCATAATCGATTAGGTACCTGTGGAATAATGTAATGTGAAGAAGGATTTAAACAGAGTAGATGTCGATATTCGTCTCCTTAATAAAATTATAAATAAGTATCTAGAACATAGTAGTCCAAAATAAAAGGTAAATAATTGTTTTTTGTTCGTCTGTCAATCTGCTAATTCTGCTATACTTACAATCATAAAAAAAAAGGAAAGAAAACAAAAAAAATATTTAGTTTTTATTATTATTTTAGTCATAGATGTTATTGGTGTTTTTGGTATTTGACATTAAATTTTCATAAAAAATAGATAATAATAAAGAATATTAATTCGAATATAATAATTGAAATCAACAACAGCATTAAATAAAGAATTGTGGAGTCACCTCTATCATAAGATATTGATTTAAAAAAGTGCTTAGTAATTTTGCAAATTATTCACTTCCGACCTTTTTTTATTATTAAAAGATCAAGGCTAAATAATAAAACATTATTGATCCACATTTAAAATCAATGTATAATGTATCAAGTTATTATCACTCATCAATACCGTGCTGTTTGAACGTGTTCAGAGAACTTTATCAATTGATTCTTGTGATGTGAGCGGATAATGTAGGTACTAGGTATTGTACATTAGCATTACATATTGAACTAGCTTAGTACTTCCGCGCGGTTTCACACGCTCAGCTCAGCTCCTATTGGTCGTAGCGTGACGTTTTAGCCTATAGCCATCCTCGATAAATTCGCTATCCAACACAAAAAGAATTATTCAAATCAGACTTGTAGTTACGGAGATTAGCGCGTTCAAACAAACAAACAAAAAACAAACTCTTCAGCTTTATAATATGTATTAGTATAGATAAGATGAATACAGGGTGTAGCAAAGCTTCAGGTAAAATATCACTCTAAAATACGTCTAATTGATTTCACAGTGTTATCAAAATTAATGATGAGTACCTATTTTTAGGAAGGGATTTAGGACTATTTAATTAAAGAGATAGTGACAGTTATCGTCGTTTTGTGTGAAATTAAGAGAAAGGTTATCAATGAGATACGACTAGTTATAGGATGGTTAATTATAACATCAACGTCACAATGTTTTTGAGTGTTATTATAACTATAACTTATAAGCATCTATATTGTTATTGGATTGGTTGAGAGCAGTGACACGGCTCAATTCCTTAAACCAAATTGTTTGTTTTAATCGTCAATAATAAAAAGAGTTGTTAACTTTGGATTTAGAATATCAATGTTGTTAATTTTTCCGGTTTTTTTTGTAGAATCGCCTTTTTGTGTTAAAATAGCTTCAAGATTTATATTTAGTAGGTATGTACCTAAATAGCTATCCAAAAAATTGTGCAATGTTTCGTAACATTATGAAATTGATTATTATCTAAGTATTTGTGATAAGATTTGTCTTATGTCTATGAAGTCGTAGACAGAAAGCTTTTCTATGATTTAAATGCGATTGTCTACTGTACCTATACCTACCTATTATCTCGATATTTTTACGTTTACCGGCTTATGCCATAAAAAAAGTAATACGAACTTTTATAATTAAAAAAGTACAGGCAGTCTACAATTCAAATTAGATGAATTAAAAACAATAAAAAATAGTACCTACGTACTTATCAACGCAATAAACTTTCGTTTAAAAGTTTCGTCCATAAATTTTGAGGTGTTTTTATTTATTTATTTACACTTTATTGTACACCATAAAAACATACATAGAAAATAAACATAAAAGAATGTGTACAATGGGCGGTCTTATCGCAGAATGCGATTTCTTCCAGACAACCTTTGGATGGAGCCAGTATTCAGGAGTTGGAAAAAGGGGGTCGTCTAGTGTACAATAATTAAAACAATACATACAATATAATACTATCTATACCTACATACCAAATAAATAATATATAAAATTAAAATAGATATAACTACTATACATAAGTGAGTGTGTGTTTGTAGATGTGTCTGCATGTGCGCGCGCGCGCGTGTGTGAGTGTGTGTGTGTTTATGTGTTTCCATGCTAGGTAGGATTTTTTAAAATAATGACTAAAGAGAGAGGTAATGTTCTTTAACTAGATTTTTAAACTGAGGTAGAGTTTGAGCACGCCTCACCTTAATCGGCAAGGCATTCCACAACCGAGCCGCTTTAATAGTGAAGGAATTACCAAAAAAGGAAGTGGAGTGCAAACTAATATTTAAATTAAGAGTTTTTCTTTATTTTCGGTCACTCCCTCCCCGCCCCATCGCCCAATCTCACGTGAGATTTTTCAAAATGTTGGTTTTTAACGTAAACGCGTTGGATTGTTATTGTAAAAAAAATCCATGTGCATGTACATACAATCTGGATTAAATGGACTAAAATAGTGTAATTTGTTTTGTTTCATTTAGAAAAAAAAATACGTGGTATTTGCCGAGAACCCCCACTCTCCAACGTAAGACTAGATGAGACTTGAGTTTACCCCCTCCCCCCTTAAACATCTCACGTAATTTATGGACGTCCCCAAAGGAGTTTTTGTTATAATATTCAATTGATAATAGGTACATATTCTGATCGCTCATTATTCAATTTTATTTATTGCAATAGGTAATTGATAAGTGTGAATTATAAAAAAAGTGTAATTTCGTTTGCACAAAATGCACGACTGGTATCGAAATACGGAATCCTTGACGTACCATTTACACCTCGCCTCGCCGTTTTCTCAAAGGATTCAGTAAATGAACACTGTCAGTTTGTTTATTTAAAACAATGTCAAATTCTCCGACTGTTAAATAGTTACACAACATTGCATAACAGCGTGAAATCGATCATTTAAGATAGCTTGCATGTATTTTTTTACGTCTGTCAGAGACTTTATTTAGCTTAAACTTAAGATAAGATAGAATAGACATCTAGTTTAGATCCTTATATTTTAATCCTTTTATAAATATTTTAAATATTTTGGTTATTGATGCACCAAGTTAATGTGTTGCATAAATCAAAGCGGACAAACTTTATTACATCATGGTCTAGTGCTTTAGGTAAATATTAATAAAAAGTTAAGTTATACAACAGTCATGCCTAGTTAGAACTTAGAGGTAAATACATTAGCAAAATAGGTTACATACATTATTATGTATACCTAAGTTATAAAATGTATTAATAATTCTAATACACTACACTTTGTAATTTGTATAAGATTTATTTACTACAACCTTCTAATTGCTTTATGTAAATATCATAACAAGGAATAAGATTTAAACCGATACTGGGATTAAATTAA